GAAGAGCTCACGGTTGCATACTCGCCGTGGATAAACGGCAGCATTGAGCGTGCAAATCGTGACATTGTGCAGGTGCTACGAGCACTTTGCCTCAAATACGAGGTGGGCACTCATGATTGGACATTTTTTGCTCCAATACTGCAAGGAAATTTAAATCATACACCTTTCCCGTCGCTGGGAAACAAAGCTCCGGTGGAGTTATTTTGTGGACTACCGCCTCCATCTCCCCTAGATTTTTGTGTGGATACAAAACAAAAGAAAATACTGGCATTACCTGAGCAGCCGGGGGACATTGAGCCGTGGCTTACAGCAATGCAGTCTAGTATCCGTGCAATGCACAAACCAATGATTGCGACACGTGATCAACAGACAGAGCGCAACCAGAGACGTAACCAACACGCACAGCGACCAAATTTCGAGGTGGGTGATTACGTGTTGAGATCAAGGGTGAACCATAAGCACCAAGATAAACTACTAGCTACATGGATAGGACCGTATCAGATAACGCGAGCGGACGTACACTCTTTCGTGGTACGCCATCTAGTGACACGGGAGGAGACGGACGTTCACCCCTCGCGCTTGAAGTTCTATGCCGACAGCTCATTGCACAGCACTGAAGAAATACGTGAGCATGTAGCTGCTCAGGGTCAAATTCTAGCAGTTAATGAGCTTCTAGACTACAAATGGAATTCTCAAAAGAAGGACTACGACATCCTCGTTAACGGGAAAGGTTTGGAGCCAATTGAAGACTCATGGGAGTCTGCCAAATCTCTAGCAAAGGACACACCGGTACTTCTGAATCAGTTTGCAACATCGCGTGAAGATGCACGACTCGAACGTCACATCGGCAGACTGACAACGTAGTACATGCCTTTCATTTGAGCCAACTGACAGGCCGCAGACATGATGACCACATTTGCAGCTCTGATTTGATTCTGAAGATGGGTCAGAATTCATTTTCCGACAATTCTATTTTCGACAATATTCCAAGCGCCTGACGGACTGGGAAAAGGCTTGGGTGGGCGGTATAGTGGTGGCTTAACAGATCAAGCCTTGGCCATTCACCGGACGATGATGATTGGTAGACATCGTCGAGCTGGCAGAGGATAAGAACAATAGGATATAGGCTACGAAACCAACGCAGCCAACCGAGCGGCCGCTGGGATCACTTAGACATCTAACTAAGAGCCAACAACAGAGCTTTGGTTTGCCTGAAAGCGCCAGCTTCCTTTGTAGTGCTCCGAAACCTACTACAAATTGTGCCGATTGTACAAGCGCGGCCTTCCGTGCGACTGGCAAAGCAAGTACGATGCTAGAGGACAGGTAGCTCGACGGACGCAGCTCTGGTGCCGCTCTTCGAATGCCTTGAGCAAAGAGAACAACGACAAGGTCGCAGCAGTCCTGCGGACATCTAACAACCTCGAAAATCACCACAATTAAGGGCGTCGTGGCAACTCGAACAATTGTCGTAGCACTAACAACAACGGCAGTCAGTGGGGAAACCGCGGACACGGCAACTCCAAATGCAATAGCAATAGCCAATTCAACCAGTATCACATACAGCACATTTCACTGGACCAACACACACAACACGCAGGGTTGCCGAGCTTTACGCAACGAGAGTTAACCTGAAGCACTATCAAGCAGAGAACCAGCACTCGAAATACAGCTCAAAGTAGCGGAGGTCGTGGCGTTGGTGTACGTCGACAAGAACAAACACGAGTTGAACAGTGTCGCTAAAGCAGTGCCACCTCTAGCGATGAAGAATGTATTGTCGTGGGGATCAGGAATCAACTAGCTACAGCAGCAGCAGCTCCAATTTTTAAGGACGAAACTAACCGTACCAGCTTGATAGTATCGCAAGCATGCCACATATTGATATGTGTTTCTAACGCCTTCACAATAGCAGCTTTGCAATATATAAATACGGTTTGCATCTATATTTCAGCAAATATCTAATCGCCTTCATGAATATTTTCAGCTTGAAATAAAATTGTCCCAACAAATGAAAGTACTGCACCATTGTTTTGGCAGCTGGTGTCGGGTCGTCTTGGCTGTACTAGTGCGGTTCCCACATGCTTAAGTGGAACCGACGCCTGTTTGGGCCGCAACGTCATTTTCAGCACTCTATGCTTTCATGTTTTTGCTGAGCTCTGAAGTTTCTGTTGTTGCGTTTGAAACGAGTGAAACATGCTGCAAAAATCATCAACCAATACGCACTAACCCGACAATGATGTCATCATTCTGAAAAGATTAGAGCCCTTTCGCCACCAGCAGTATTTACCCACACCCACCGTGTTAAACAAAAACGCTGCACACTCTGCTCATCTGAGGATAGCGTTCTGCAGAAACTGCCTGTAGAATGATTTCCTCACAATTTAAATCGCCCACCTTTCCTGTTAAGCTATGCCACCCAATGAGAAGCGTCGAAACTTCACGGGCGAAAAGGACCTTGCGCTGCTGCGCCAAGTAGCATTCGATCGGACCTTTTTAAGTGAGCGTGGAGGGGTCATTGCTGCTTGGGACTCCGTGGCTGCTACACTTGTCGGCGACGCAGGCTTTCCAAGAGACTAGCTCTCAGGAAAGCATGCACAGGCACGCTTTGACAAGCTTATACAGCGCAAGAGAGATGCGAACAGGGTGGCGCTGGCCGCATCGGGGGTCGCAGAGAAAGAAACTGAAGCTGATACGATCCGCGACGAGCTCATCGAGCTTATCGATGATCGTGCAGCAGTGCAGAAGTCTCAAAAAGACGCAGCCAAGCGAAAGCGTGACGAAGATGAGGAAGCCTCCTGAAACGTCCGTCGCCTCGCCATGCAGCGTCTTCGTGACGAGATTACGACGCCACCACGAAAGCGCAAGGAAGAGGAAATGAGAGAGTTTGTACTCCAATTAAAGAAGCAGGAGATCGAAGCAAGAAAATAGGAGCAGGAGACAAAAGCTGCTCAGCGCGCCGAAGAACGACAAAAGGACCGAGACTTTATGCTTGCATTGGCAGAGATGATTGGACAGCAGATCGCTGGTATTGTCAGCGCTAATTGAAGCTAGAACACGCAAATAAAACGGAAGGGTGGTAATTTGCTTTATGCTCTTAAGTATTCTGCCAATGTAGGGGGTACCAGTCCAAAATACTTACTGATCTGGTTCCTACCTTCATGGCAACAATGGCAATTGGTGAGCAGCATACTTACCGAGACATACTTACCTATAGGTCCCACCCGTAGTTTTAGTGACTTCTTGTAATCAATAAATGCCCAGTAACTTTTCAAATGCGCGAACTTTCATTCCACCGATTCCCGCACGGAGCTCATTCTTGCATTAAAGATATTTTCCAATGCCGATACACTGGCACCTTTGTAACCCGACACGATGTACTGTTATATAGGGTACGCTGGGTCGCCGTACAGCGCGTACCCTCTGAAGATGTCGTCTTGCGTCTCAAAAAACTTCATTAGCTTACTTTCGTACAGCAGCGTAACGTCGTGGCGTTTGCCTTCTATGGGTCTCCAGAAATGGATAGCGAGGCCATCGGGAACGACAACACTTTGGTAAGTAAGACAATGAACCCTTTTGTGGCCCGAGTACACTTGTTTTTGCAGGCTCTCGCGGTGTCCACGCCGTGATGAAGGACGTGAAATCGCAATTTTGGTTCCGTCAATAAACCCAAAAAAGTTGAGCATCGGCGCACTGCGAGCCTCAACAGCACTAGCATAGGTAGCGATACTGCGACGATACAAACTCTTATGGAAGTAGATCAGAGAGTTTATCTATCATACAAGTACACAACTTTCCAAAAACAGCATTAGTACTAGATTCAACATGCCAAACAAAGCAACGCATACTCACGTACTCATATGAGAGAATATCCTGATGATTGGGCCCTCTGCACGCCCAAACTTGCTGGATAGGTCCAGGTTTCGGCGTGGGTAGCTAAGGCGGTAAAGCAGAATGCGGATGCTTCTGTATAGTGAACCTTGTCTCGATCGCGTGTTACCACGTATTCAGGTAGGGCAAAATGAAGTGTGAGAGCGCAGATTGTAGCTCTGTCGAACCGAAAGTCGCTCTTGCAGTTGACGTCGGAGTGAATATCGAGCTTGAACCTTATGGCTGGAATAAGAGGTCTCTCTGGCGGGACCCCTCTTGCGAAGTATAGAAGCTGAAGAGCGTCGACGCTGGTGGTGCTGAGGCTCAGAAGAAGAGCGTTTTCCATAGGAACTGGTTGGCTGCTCTTGGAGGATGATAAACTCTGAGGATGAGGGTGGAAAATGCTGCGAAAGGTAAAAAGCGCTATGTCCACACAATTGTGCCGTGGCCTGTCTATATATTTACGGATAAGGATAAAGCTTTTCTGCGAAAGGTCTCTATTGATGCCAGATTCTACCCCAATGAACATTTATCATTTTTATTGTCAATAATTGATCGAATGTCATATTGTATTGGACCCGGCGGTTATTTTGTCATTTCACCATTTTATTGAAGCTCGATTTTTATTTACCTGACCACACCGTCACTATTAATAAGATAAACTTTTTGCTTTTCTAATACCTTATATTACTGTCTAAGGCTCGGTCTTACAATAGCGGGATGGGATGCCTGCATTTTCGAGAAGCCGCAGGACTTCCAACCCGGTGTTATAGACAGGTGGCTCGTGTCGGCGGTGTGTGCTGCTGCTGTCAGCTGTGGAAATGAGCGGGATTTGTGTATCCCAAGACCGTGCCACACAACGTCCCAGGGACGAGAAGGGGTGTCAACCTTACAGGTCCCAATATCCCGCAAACTAGATCGCTGATTGGTCCATCCCTCTTTTGGGACGATATAAGACTGGGCCTAATGCTCAAGAGTTAAAAAAAAAGAAGTGAATTTTTGGTGCAAAATCCATGGGTCGTGCGAATGTCGTCTAATATGTGTTGTACCTTATTTGCCAATCACAAAGATTTAGCATACAAACGCCAAGCTATTCGGCGTCCCTTCGCTTGTTGCGAAATCACGCCCGACATACGTGGGAGCCGCTCGCACTCCTCGACCAGGCCAAGGCGGCACACACCCGAGAGAGAGAGAGAGAGCAGAAAGCACAGGCGCAGCCATGGATCGCTTCGCGCTGGACAAGCTCAAGAATGTCATGGACGATGCGTACGTTTGTAGCATCACGCTCCTCGCTAACGGTTACGAATTGATACTAACGTGAAGTGATCTTGTGCTCTCAAACTGCAGGAAGAGTGCCGTCAAGGCCAAAATGGGCACAGATGTAGAGCGCAAAATGGAGGAGGCGCTTTCTAATAAGAACTGGGGCGCGTCCAGCACGCTGCTCAACGAGATCTCGCAGCTCACCTACGACTAGTACGTCGCTATCCGATCTGATACGCGGCAAAATGCTCTTCAACTGAAAGCTCATTGCTCTGCAACTGTAGTGAGGCCTATGGAGTCATTATGCGCAAGATCTGGGAGGCTCTAGACGCCGAGGGCCGCCAGTGGCGCGCCGTATACAAGGCACTAAGTCTGCTAGAACACCTGATCAAGAACGGTACGGAGCGTGTGATCGAGAACGCGCGCGACCACATGTTTAAGCTGCGTCACCTCTCGGGCTTCTCCTACCACGACGGATCTGTCGACCGTGGCAACGGAGGTGCGTTAAGAGCACATATCACAGTTGAAGAGCATTTTTACTGACAATTGAAGCTGTTGCGATGAATCTTCAGTTCGCGACAAGGCCAAGCAGCTCGTGGATATGCTGAATGACAATGATATGATCCGTACGGAGCGCGAGAAGGCTGGACGTCTGCGCAACAAGTATGTGGGTATTGGCAGTGGCGTCGGCGGTGGAATGGGAGGGGGTTACAGTGGCAGCAACAGCTACAGCGGAGGAGGCGGCGGTGGTGGCTACAGTGGAGGAGGTGGTGACGGCTACAGTGGAGGTGGTGGTAGCAATAGCTACAGCGGGGGAGGAGGAGGTTATAGTGGAGGCGGTAGCAACAGCTACAGTGGAGGTGGCAGTACGAGTTACAGTGGCGGTGGAGGAGGCTATAGCAGCGGCAGCAGAGGCTACGGAGATAGCGACTCGAAGGGTTATCAGGACACCAAGGACAAGAGCTACTCTAGTCGCTACGCTGATGACGACCGTGGTAAGTTTTCACTGCAACAGGTTGTTTTAAGTAACGAGTGAGACTAATGCCGTCGACGAATGGATAGATAACGGGAGCGATGAGTCCGAGTCCGAGGAGGAAGTGCGCTCGAAGCGACGAACGGCGTCGTCGAAGCGGAAGGCGGCTGCGAAGAAGAAAGAGGTGTGTTGTACTTGCGCATGTATCGTTCATTGGCGTGATCCTAAGCCTGTTTGGTCTTACAGGAGCCCGAGCCAAAGCCTGCAACAAAAGCACCTTCAGCAGAGCCCTCCCTTCTGGACAGTGACTTCTTCAGTGCCGCTCCGGCTGCAGGTCCGATTTTCGCTTCTGTACATGTTAAACGCTAGATCAGCTCACTGACACGTTTTCTATCTATCTATACAGCACCCGTAGGAAACACATTCGACCCGTTCGCTCCGGCTCCCGCTGCTCCTGTTGTTGCACCCCAAACTGCATCATTTGCTGCCTTTGGAGGCGCCGCCCCCGCCCCTCAGCAGTCTTTCGGCGCCTTCGGCACACAGCCGCAACAGCAACAAGCTTCGTTCAACGCCTTTGGAAACACCAGCGCCCCTGTTCAAGGAAACGCTCAGCAGTTTGCTGCTTTATCAGCTGCACCAGCCCAGGAAGGCTTTAACGCATTCGGGCAACAAGGCAACGCCGCAGCTCCCCCCGCCCCTGCGTTCAGCCAACAACAGCAGCAGTTCGGACAGTTCGGCGGTATGCAGGGCGGTATGCATCAGCCTATGCAGGGAGGCATGAACATGCAGCAGAACCGAACGGCTTCTAACCCTGGACGAATGAACGCTGGTCCGCAGCCTGAGCAAAAGAAGAGCAACGATGCGTGGGGGGCTGGCTCTTCTCTCGTTGATCTCAACAACCTGAGCAGCTCTACGCGTAGCAACACCAGCAACGCAGGTCGTCCCGGTCAGCAGCAGCAACAGCAGCAGCAGCCCAACGCAAGTCGCAACAGCTTCAGTGGTCTGGATACTCTTGCTGGTATGCCCAGTAAGCCTGCGATGGGAGGAGCTGGTGGGATGAACCCCATGGGCGGTGGCATGAACTACGGCGGTGGCATGGCCATGAACCAGGGTGGAATGCAGCAGCCGTATGGCCAGATGCAAGGAGGAATGGGGATGGGCGGCATGCAGCCCCAAGCGATGATGGGAGCTATGGGGATGCAGCCAGGAAGGGAAATGCAGCAGCCTGGAATGGGTATGATGAACCAGGGAGGCTACGGTGGCATGGGTGGCATGCAGCAGCAGCAGCAACAACAGCGACAGCAGCAGGCATTCGGCCAGTTTGGCAACTTTAGTTGAAGCGGAGGATATCAAACCAGCCCACTTTAGGTTGTTAACTAGCGCTTCGGATGCTCAGGTGCTGATAATGAAACGGGAGTGGCAAGTTGATGCCAACCGTCCAGAGAATTAGACAAAGCGGGTGCCGGTAATGTTGCATGGTAGTTCTATTCTTACGTTTGTTTGCCCAAGGACGTCAAGTTCCAGCTCAATCCTGCAGCAAGAGCGTGGCAGACCTATAAATGATCATCGGTGCTTGAACTACTGTACACGGAATCGAAACCGCCTCAATTGATATCTCTGCTGTGACGCTGATGACTCAACGCAGAGGTGCTACATGATGATGATGATGGAGGAGACGTGTATGCACTTGCCACCACTACTCACACACTTAACTGCTTTTCTCCTCGAAGTCAAAGATGCAAAACGGTCAACTTCGGCTGCATCTTTGCCGCTCGCTGCGGGCCACGTGATCCACTGCTTCGCCAGCGGCACAATCGTCCGGCTCCCCCTCCCTGCCGGAAAGGCAGACAGCAGCAGCTTTGATACTCACAAAACCTTTTTTCTGAATGGAGTTCCATTGCTCTTTCAAGAACACGCCGAGAGTTGGCCATGCTTGTTCCCAAAGAGTGCGTTCTGCGGGGACTGCGGCTGGGTCGTGAGTCCCGACGCGTCCTCCATGTCTTGGTCTCGCTCGAGTCTCTGTCTAGCTGCGAACTTCTGGAAGAGATCTCCACCGGCACTACTACTGCGCGGCAATTTGCCAACAGAAGAGGCCAGGATGTTAATCTGACTGGACGTTTTCTTCAAGCTCACCCTCGGTTCGTCTCCTCCGTCGGCTGTATTGTCCACATGGACGGATTTACGCTTCCTCAGCCCTTCCGGGTACTTGTTGAGGACACTGAAGGGCGACATGACGCGTAAATGTCCAGGTATGGACAATCTGGCTTGAGGAATCCGCTTATGCCCTCGTAAACGAGGTGGAGAATGGACGGCGTGATTGTCCTCCTCGACGTCCTCCATGGCCGTGATTTCCACGTCATCCACACTCATCACGAGTCCTTCAACGTCCCCACTGCCTGTTCTCTGGCTCCTCGTCTTTTGCTTGAGCTTAAGTTGCTTACGAAGCACGTCGCGTGGCTGCGGGGACGAAGGAGGCGTGTTCGGGCGCTCAGGAGGCAGCAGAGGGAACACCTTAAAGTGCTCATTGGCGCCCCCACTACTGCTTCTGCGACGTCGCTCCTTCTCTTCTTCCTCTATGGCGTCTGACATGCCGTGGTGACGTCCCACGGCGATGCGGGTGAGCTTCTCGCGTAGTAACACCATGTCTTCGTGGTCGCTCACCAGCGAGTTGCGGCGCAGCCTGGAGCTGATATTGACGGCAGCGTCGGGTGTCAAAGAGCGGCTCTTACGCAACATCGGGCTGGACGGAGATATCATGGCTCTGATAGGGGCTTGTACACACGCGAGCTCTTGGTCGAATAGGCCGCAAGAGCCGTTCGGCGCAGAATTCTTCCGCCGAATCTGCAGCTAAAGTTGCGTTATGGGGTGTAAAACACAAAATGCAACCTAAGATCTGATTATGCACCGTATATAAAACTGGAACTTCAACAATTTGTAAAAATGCTGTTTATGGTGAGTTGAACGTATCGACGTATCGGGCTCGAAGTTTGGTAGGAGCTGCCGGAGGGTGAGGTTTTGACGGGTTCCGGAGGCTTGGTGCCAGGCTGAACTGCTTAGAAAAATCCTGTCGCACGATCGAATACGTCGGTGCATCTGAACTGTGCGTCTCGTAAACACTGCTGATCTGTCCAGCCTTCGCTCGTCGAAGAACTTCCTGGATTTCAGGCGGTGGAGTCAATGGCTTGTGCTGCGTCTCACTCAGCGTCAAACTGGACTCTTCGTACGTAGCCAAATCGTCGCCATCGTCGCTGTCAGCTTTGTGCTCGCTTAATGCATTGGACGTGTTGGTGTCGCCCGCTTTGCTCTCCTTTGCAGACTTAGAGGCTGCTCCATTCAGGCTAGCACCACGGAAACCAAGAAACCATTGCTGCATGATTTAATAGCAGTGAGTTTAATAATTCAACAGTTGACGTAGTTGTGAGAAAACGTACCGTCCATGAATGTCGCTTAGACAGTTTTTCGCTGACTTTCTGTTTGGGTGACGGTGTGTGGTGCTCATTAGCATCTTCAGTGCTCGTAGATTGGTCTTCTATCGCCTGCTATGAAAGAATAAAATTATCATAAATAAAGTTTCAGAGTGCCTTCAAAATGCCATTCATTTACCTGCAGTCTATGTCGTTCAGCCTCCTCCAGAATCACCAGAGTTCTGCGCATGGGATGATCTTCCGGCATGTCATCAAACTTGTGTCGCATTGGCGATCGAGTCTTCATGTTTGAAAGAGCAGTGAGGCCGAATCGGTTGGTCGCCATTGGGTCGGCTCCATAGTTGAGTAGTATGATAACACACGAAATACTGCCATCCCACGCTGCTAGATGAAGAGCAGAGTCGCCATTCTCGTTCGCTGCCTGGAGACTAACAGCACTCTGAAGTAGAAACTTGACGCACTCGAAATTGCCTTGGAAACACGCAGCCAGAAGTGGCGTATTTCCCGCCTCATCTCGAGCTTCCAAGTCCGCAGTGAACTCGCTCAACAGCATGACCGAGTCAAGATCACCCAGCTCACATCTGCGTACAGCAACAGGATGAGAAGATGCGCAAAAGACGACACAAAGTACCGGAAATCCTTACGCCAAGTGCAGAGGCGTGCCCTTCTCAGCAACGTCTCGCTGGTTTGGAGACACTCCTCGTAGCAAAACTTCTTGCAGTTTCCGCAGATCATTCTTTCGGACAGCATCGAAGACGAGTGAACTGGACGGGTATGACATTGGCGGCTGTCCAGCTTCAAGCGTTGGCGCTCCGTGCGACTTCGAGTCACTAGCACCGCGAGGTTCACTGGCATGTCCTACGTTCTCGAAGAACCGATTCCAGACTGCACCGACTCGTGCCGGAGAAATAGGCGGCGTTAAGGTGTCGGTGGGCTCTCGCGCTTCGTCATTGTCTTCTAGTAAGGGAGGAGGCGCATCCAGCAATTTAGGAGCATTCTCGTACGGATATTGTTCGAACGAGCGGCGAAGTTGTTGCTGATGATAATGATAGTCACTTGAAGTTCGTTCTCTTGGTTGGTTACCGGATGCTACGCTTGTGGATGCCTCGGTTTCTAAGAGATGATAGTTGTCTTCCAAGGATTCTTGTGCACTGGACAAGTGGGCTAGACCTTCGGAAATCTCGTAAAACCCCTGACTATCACGACGACCTAGTCTGTGATCGTACTGCTGTTGACGCTCACTCCAGCTTGCTTGGAGCTGTCTACACGACTCGATGACGTTGGCATTCTCTTGCAAGCTGTGGCGTAGTCTTTCTTGCATGCTTTCTTCGTATCGTGTGTGCTCTAGCCGCTCTCTTCCAAGCTTTTCCTGAGCATTACGAGCAATCGACTCCAAGAGCTCGCAGCGCGATGAGAGGGCTCGATGGGATACGCGGCTCGCCTCAAGTTCTAGTTCACGCACTGCAAGCTGGTTCTGATTCTCTTCGTGACTTGCTCTCTCCTAGAAGCACAAACATCGCGATGGTCGAATGCTAAGTAAAACACCATGTTACTCATGAAACATAATCTGTTCGAACCTGTTTCAGCTCTTCGCCACTCGCTGCCAGATTCGACGACATTTCTTCTAGCTGAACTCGGTAATGCGCTTCACGACCATTGGATGCCTAGCCAGATAACATTATAGCATTGGAATATTGTAACTTTCGTGCTGTCCCAACAAGCACAAATCACCTGTAGACTTGCATTGAGAGCACCAATTTGCCCTCGCACTTCTTCAACGAGTTGGAAAATCGTTTGAGCTTCCGGTGCTGAGTGATTCGGAAGAATCTGGAAGAGATACGAGTGCAGGACAGTCAACGCATCGCGTTCGGCTCCGCTTGGTCTTCGGTCGATAGAATATGCAGAGCTGTAATGAGATACCGCGCTTGGCTGCGCTGGGCTCGCGTTGCTTTCGATACTTTGCAGCAGTTGGACGCACTCGACGTGGTTCTCTAATATGCTCAATATCAACGGCGTCCGACCTTGTGAGTCTTCGTCCTTCACACTTGCACCGTAAGCCAGTAAGCTCCGAGCGATACCAAAGTAACCAAGCTTGGCTGCAATATGCAGCGCGGTCTCGTCTTCATTGTTCTTCTGGCTGAGTAATGTGTGGTCACAGCCACGCAGAATTAACATAACCAGCCCTTCGTTGTCGCTTTGAGCAGCAACATGAAGCGCTGTATTTCCGTTGCTGTCGCGGGCAGAGAGCGACGCCTTTGACTCAACTAGCAGCTTGACGATGCCTTCACTCTCGGCTCGACAAGCCAAAATCAGAGGGGTAGCATCATCACGAATAGCTCGAGCGTCTAGCTTGGCTCCGTAATAAACCAACAGAGCTGCAGCTTGTTCATTCCCCACTTTACAAGCGACGTGGAGTGGAGTGAGGCCGTCAGAATTTAAAGCTTGGAGATCCACCCCGGAGTGTAACATTATACTCAGCTGTCTAGCGTCTGTCTCGGACAGCTCTTCCTCCGACACAGCAGCAAATAACTCTTCGGTGGTGTACGTCCGAGCACCAGAACTCGTCGGGATGGTCCATTGAGATTCCTGTGTGCGCTGATTGTAGTAGTAAATGAGTCCGTCTTCAGTCTCGCACGGAACCCACTCACTGTCGCTCTCCTGAGCCGCTCTCGTCCTGTGTGGCACAATGACCGCTGGTTTCGCCTCGATATTTCCTGACTCTCCTGTATCTCTCGAGCTTGGTGTAGACTCCACTACACGCGTTGATGCCTGTCGTGGGGCTTCTTGGGCGTGCGCCATCTTTCGACGAGTTACTGTCATATACCGAATAGGAGACTGTCCGAACCCGTCGTGATCATCTACAACTAGAAGCTTTTCCGGACTGCCCGGCGTGCCCAGACTCTCATCGTTCGATCTTGGTGACGATGACATCACTTCTGCGTCTTGAACTTTGCGACTCGCTCGATCTAGTTCGTAGTAGTCGCTCTCGGTACCTGACAAGTATTCTAGCAATGCAATGTCATCTTCCGTATCTTCACCTTCGTCCCTGCCGGCCACGTGCTCTGCCGGTACAAACCCAGAGTTACTGCGACTCTGAGGCTTGGTCTCCGCCTCCATCGACGGTAGAACGGTCACTGGGATCACAGGTTCTTCCAGCTGATCCGAGTGCTCACTACCGCTCCTACCACGCCCAGTCTCTCGTAGTTTCTCACCATTGGCTTCAGAAGTATTCTCCACAACCTCAGCCGTGGGCTGCGTGTTCACTCGGAGCTCATAACTGGTAATTGACGGTTTGTTTTCATCTCGATTAATAGCAGTTGGAGCTCTCCTTCCAACGCGCCTCGAGCTTGTCCACTCGCTCCCGTCGTCCTTCACTGCTAGGTGCGATGCGCCACTTTCTTCTTCCGCCATGGTGGTACAGGTTCAATACTGAGACCAAGTCAACTTCAACACCGATATCTACGGCGCCCTTTCAAGATCGATATACGCAAGATCATGCTGTACGATAGGTTTACGAAGGACTTCAACGTCTTGCTCAGAATAGTTGGCTTAGAGCTGTTGCTTGCGTTTCGACCATGGAGCCTCGCAGCACTGCGTTGACTAGCGCCGCTTCTATGATCTTGAATCGGTCTAAGATGCCGCAAACACTGACACTGGATCACGTCTCCCCAGCGACGCGGTTGCTGGAGAAGCGTCGACAGATGTTCGAAGTGCAGGAAGCTCTTGACGCACAGAAAGAAGAATTTTCTCGTCGAGAAGACGCTTTCCACCGTCGAGAAGAGGCACTTCGAAAAAAAGATTTGGAGCTGCAGGAGTCGCTTATCAAGTTCAACAAGTTTCTGCAGGAGAATGAGTCCAAGCGCAACCGTGCAGTCAAGCGAGCTAGCGACGAAGTTAAGCAGCGTATGAGCAAAGAGCAAGAAGTAGCTAGATTGCAGACCCAGCTCACAGCACTACAGCGAGAGAGTGATGCTTTAGGTGCCCAAGTTCGGCACCACCTAAAGTATGCTCGCTACCTAGAGCTCGTTCAGGAAGCTGTTCCAGAAGATTACCCTGAAGTGAGCGATCTAGTGAACCGCTACCACACTTTACGCGAGACCAACCGCGACCTCAGTCGGAACCAAATCACGCACGAAGAGGAGAGTGAGTCCAAGCGACTCGAGCTCGCAGCCTTCCAGAAAGAACGCGCCAATGAAATTTTAACTTTCAACAACCGTATCGCCGCATTGCAACGCGCTCTCGAGCGGGAGGAACTACTGGGTGTGCGCTTACAACACGAGACTGATGCAACACTGCGAGCCACAACGCAGAAGACATTAGTGTTGGGGCAGATCATCATGGCTATCGGTAATTTACTGCAGAGATGTACTAGCGGCATCCACGGACAGATCCTTAAGCACGTCGAAGGAAGCTACAGAACTCAAGGAAGCACGAACCAGTCTGGCAACGACAGTCACGATGGCTCGGGTGCTGGAGGTGTCTCTACCAACCTGTCATCTGCGCCAGCGACCCACGCTCCAGGTGGCAAGACTGCCAGTGGGATATTGGAGGCTGATGCGATTCATCACGGACAGCGTGCTATGATTGATCTGGACGTTGTCGCCGCCTACATGGCGGACTTTACAGCGATCGTGCAAGGTCGCATTGATGCACAACGAGCGCAGAAGAAAGCAGCTGCAGCGGCGGTGTCCCAAGGAACTGGCGCTGTAGTTACTTTCACAGCAGGAAACAATGACGGCCACACAGGAGCAAGCTCATCAGTTGCTGGAGGTTCAACCGCTACAATTCGCTGAGTACAACAACTACAGCTACTTTACTCACTCTTTTCATCTTTCATACTTAACTTCACTTTTTCTGCTTCTTGCTCTTGTCAGTCTTACTGCCAGTGCGTTGGTTGACAGCAGAACGCAAGCGTTTACTCTTGATCTTCGCGTAGTGCACTTGGTCATCGTAAGTCGTGAAGACCCGATCGAGTCGCGTCTGAATGTGTCTACCACCAGAAGCAGCTGCATCTCGTGCCTTCTCCTCAAGAGGCTTTAACACGCCATCGCTCTTCTGCTGATCCCATCCAAACGCCTTAGCGCAATAGTTGCGCAGTGAAGCCACATCCGGAGCACTCCAGGAGAATCTAGCGTCGGAGCGATCCACTTGCGGACTCATATACGCTTGCACCACCTGCTTGCTTGGGAACTCGTCTCCTAGCTCCCATTTCCGTCGCGCAGTGGCATGAGACCGCTGGAATCGTTCGCGAACTGTTTCGTCTTCACTATCGCTGTCTCCTCCCGACTCGTCTTCTTTTCCCTTACTCACTCTTTTCTTTTTCTTCTTAGAGCTTGAGGCTACACGCTGGGCTTCTTCTGCAACGTTAAACTCACCGACCCAGTCCTTAAACTCACGCAGACCCTCAATTTTCGGGTACGCAGCCGCGATCTCAGTAGCATTTACAATGCCAATACCCCGTACGCCATCCGTGTAATCGCTACCAAGAAGTAACGCCAAGGCGATGATTTGTTCTCGTGAGAACCCCAACTCTTGTTCAATGTCACGAGCAGAAAATGCTTCGACGAATTTCTGGTGGTGGAAAATGTTCTTGTAGACTCTCTGGCCACCAAAAGGGAAGATGTCGCTATCATCAGTGATAACGCCGTCCACAAGACCAAGTTGTTCGAGAGCGGCACACTGAGCTTCAGCTTCCATGGGACTCACCAGAAACGGGACTCCAAATAAACGCAAAAGTGACATGACTTCAGCCACCATATCGTCCGTGATGCCTTCGGCGTCACGCAGTTGTCGACTGCGGAGTTTCTTGAGCTCGCGTTGTTCCCTTTGCAGTCCAGCCGCATCCATCTCTGGGGTTGGGACGTCCGTATCACTGGGTAGAGCGGACTCAGCTGGCTGTGAATACTGAAGATAGCGCACACGAGCACCTCCAGCTTCCTCTTGCTCTTGCTCGCTATCAATTGAAGCGGCTAAGGCGGCTTGCAGACTCTCAATACTTTCCTCCGCTTCGGTCTGTGCTGAAACTTCGTCTACCTCGTCGTCAATAACAACAACGTCAGCGTTCTTGGTGTCAGACTTCGACTCGTCGTCTTCATCCAGCAGCTCAAGTGGAGCCTCCGCCGTTCCCTTTGTAGGCGTTGACTGAGTGCCGAGCCTTTCTATTGTGCCACTTGGACTTGCAATTCTTCCACCGTGTTGCAGAGAGTGTGCTTGCAGTGCTCGGCGCACAGCACCTGCAGCCCATTGCGTCAAGTTGGAGGCCGTCGCCATTGCAGACTGCAACGCTTCATCTTTCAGTAAATCGAGATCTCCGTGCGCTTTCGCGTCTTCCATCTCGTTCTTCAGCGTTAGAAACAATTCATCGGTGCCTTCCCTCTCGTCTTCCAGAGAATCCGCTTTACTCTCCTGGGCGTCGGAGAAGACATTTAGCGAGTCTTCCACTGGATTTTGTTTTAGTTGAGAAGTTCTATCGGCACCAGCGAGGGCAGAACCAGCTGACTGTCTTGGTACGTCCTCCCACTCCATGTCCTCATCGCTTTCAGGCTTTTCGGTAGCAGCATTACTTAAGCTTGGCGTGCTTATAGCTGTGGAGGACTCGGTCGTTGCTTCAGCCTTGGACCTCTGACTTTTCATCTCTTGATCGACATTCTCGGACTGTAAATTAGGACTTATTGGCTGCTCCACTGAAGCTGTCACGTCTTCCCATTGGACATCTTCACCCTCCTCTTCTATCGTAGCAGAGACAGGTTCACCCGCAGACACCGGGAACAGGTTCTGCAAGCGTTTTATCCCTTCCGGATCCATATCCTCAAGTTTTAACGAGACACTAACGTCGTGCACTGGCAGCGACTTGGTCTCAGCAGTGATAGGTGGCTCCATGGACGAAGTAGGTTCTTGTCTCTTGAGTCGCGTTCGTCTGAGCTTCTCAATCGCTAGCATGGGCTCCTGTTTCACACGAACCTGATGCCGTGCGACCCACGCCGCTGTAACCTCTTTTGCATTGGCGTCAGGAATAAAACCTGCTTTTGCCGCGTTAAACTCAGACAGAGATCGCTTCTCCACTGGCTGTAAGGCATCACTTCGTTCCTCCTGTAGTTGGACGCCATCAGAGCCAAAAGATCGTTCAACTTCCACAACCACGCCGTCGCTCTCTTCGTCCTTGTCCTCTTTCCGCTTCGCATCTTTCTCGTAAATATAGAACCGATTGCTATTCGAGTCAATCCGATTCCCTTGACCCACTCCGCCCTGATGTTCCATTTCTTTCTCTCGTTTCTGTCTTTTGGCGGCCTCAATCCGTCGATTCAACGCACTAGTGTGTAGAAAAGCTGAGATCTGCGTGTGCGAGTATTTCTCCGGGTTGCCAGCGAGCGGGATGAACTGATCTCTCACTTCCTGGCGTCGATCACGTAGGATCTTCTGGATCATGTCTTTCTGCAAGTGAGGAGGCAGCGAAAACACCGCGTGGAGATCGATCTTCGACAACCTGGACGTGTCCAGATCAACATCATCTAAGGTCAGGTCCTCCTCCTCTTCTTCCTGTTCTGCTGCGGCCTCCCAGACCATCTGCACTCCATTTTCCTCACTTTTCTCTTCATTCGCTTCACTAGGCTCCCGTTCTACCTCTTCAACTTCAGCTTCTACCTCTATCTGCGCCTCGTCGTCGTCTTTCTTCTTACTCAAAGCATCTGGAAGAGTAAACCCCGGCGCAACTGCAGGTGCTGGCGCTCCTCCGTTCTTCTTCATCTCCTGTTTAACCTGTTTAAGTCGATTAAGTAGAATGCGTTGAGCGGTGTGGCGTAGATTGGCGCTCTGCTGCTCCTGGCGTTTCCTGCGCCTGGCGGTCGTTCTCTTCTTGATCTCCGGGGTTTGGCCATCGAACACGAACACTGGACGTACCCCATAGTAGAGTAGCTTGGCCACACGATGAAGTGTACCCATGAGATGCGCATTGCGGATCATGTTGCCTTCGTCGTCACGCATGGCCTTAACGAATTGAGTGAGCCAGATACTGGCATCGACTGCCAGAACCTGGCCTGCTAGAGACTCGATCTCGATCTGCCGCCCCACGGGCGCGAGTAATACCCATAGATTCTGGACGCCCATAGCAACCGACTGTACAGCACAGAAAGCGCTCTGTTTCGATGATGTGGTTACACAAAATATGCGTTTGTGTAAGTTACGTGTTGAACTTGGTTTCACGTTGATACGCAGCTGACAAAGATGAGTCAAAAGGCAACTATCGTGATCTCCATTGCTACTAGTCTGCTTCAACGTGATTCAAGCAGCCGTGTGCAATGCTGTAGATGACACGGTGAGATTCGCCTGGCCTGGTCCGGTCACCGGACCGGTGGTAGCTGTTGGATTCGTTTTCTATAAGCAGCATTTTTCGATTCTTCACCGACGACGCAAGTGCACTCCAGAGTCCGCGAAAACAATAGTAACTATTTCAAAGAGGCAATGCTAAGTTCGCTGGCGGAGAACACGTTCAGCGTCATGAGTATAAACGTGGCGGGGATTCCAGAGTTCCTGTCGAGTGGCAGCCCATTGGAGAATAGCGTCGAGATCGGCAGACGTATCAGTAACTGGGACGTCGTTAACGTTCAGGAAGATTTCAACTACCACGCATACGTTTACTCGGAGAACTCGCATCTGCATCGGACTTCGACGAGCGGAGGCATTCCGTTCGGCGACGGACTCAACACGCTGTCGAACTTCTCGTTCAATAACATCACGGACTTGACGCGCTCCAAGTGGAGTGTCTGCAGTACATTTGATGGTGCTGATTGCCTCACCCCCAAGGGCTTCACGTTTCTCGAGATTCAATTGGCCGATGGAGTCACGCTCGACCTCTACAACTTGCACGCTGATGCGGGTGTCACGGATGCCGACGAGGTGGCTCGTGCAGCAAATCTCGCACAACTCAGCGCTTACATCACTGCTAACTCAGCTGATAATGCGGTCATTGTCATGGGGGACACTAATACTCGCTACACTCGTGCGGCTGATACCATTCGAGAGTTCGCGGAAGGACTCAATCTCACTGACGGTTGGGTGGAGTACGTTCGCAACGGCGAGTACCCTACCAAGGGGGCTGAAGCTATCGTGTGTGATGCAAGCATCATGACCAACGCTTGTGAAGTAGTGGACAAGATCCTGTACCGTGGCAACAACTACATCAAGTTGACACTCGAGAAGTGGAATAATGAGAACGCTGCCTTTCTGGACGACAATGGGGTCATGTTGTCGGACCACCCGCCGATTTCCTCCATCTTTTCCTGGACATTAAACGACGAAATTCGTCTGAGCAACGCTGTTGGGGGACCGCATGGAGACCAATTCACAGACGTCGCATCGGCTGGTGGGGGTCAAACGGTGAAATCCATCACAATACGATCGGGATCCCGTGTAGATGCAGTAAGCATCGCGATCTCAGCACCAAGCGCGACGATGATCTCGCATGGTGGCACTGGTGGTACTGCAAAAACCCTGACGCTGTCTTCTGGCGAGTATGTTATCTCGATGCAAGTTCACTGGAGCAAGTACAATGGCCACACGCGTATATTCTATCTCAAATTCATGACAAATTTGGGTAAAACACTGGCTGGAGGGGTACCCACTAGCGAGAACATGACGGTGTATGCACCCGATGGCTACCAACTCAGCGCCTTCCACGGGCGACATGGAGACGAAATTGACGCGTTGGGGCGATCTGGGCGAAGGTTTCGGTTTGATCTTGTGGGGACTAAAGAGGCAACAAAGTAGTACTACAACTTATCTGATCCAATGCTATTCGAGAACTTCAGTTTCAGGAATACAGCCCAGGCTTTGGAATAAGAATTTCCTTTGTCATGAAATATATTCCTTTAAAGTACCGCGGATATTCCAATACTCTATTCCAGTAGAAGAAAGTAGTGAAATATCGAATAGATTACCGACGGATGTTCCAATACTCTATTCCAGAAGAATATCGAAGTATTATAATTCTTAAATTAAAAGTCGAGTTTTCGTTGGCAAAAACGAAAACTCGACTCTAACAGTAGAAGCATGAGCTTATATCTCATAAAAGGCCGGCCCTTAGGTGAGGGTAAAAAGAAATCAAAAGCACAATACTATGCACCTTTGTATCAATTTGCGCGATTTCTTTGGAAAAAAAAAACGACTAAGCTTATCCGTAACGTTCGTTTTTTTCAACGTAAATTTCCATTTGACATTCGGAGAAGTACAGCAACAAATACTTTAATAATAGCCGATTTTTTTAATTGCTAAGATCATTTTTTCAGAATACTGTAGATACTGCTAAAAAAAGTGAGTATTGTAGACGAAGGGGTGTAAATTACAACGGAGAAGAAGAAGACGTACGGAGGCGAGCGAAGGCAAGGTCGAGTACTTGGGTGGGAGAAGACGTACGGAGGCTAGCAAAGGCAAGGTCGAGTACTTGGGTGGGTGGGTGTTCGAAAATACGTGCTGTACGGTATTTGCGAAGGCGGAAGCGCTGGTAGAGTATTGGTATAGCCTGGTGGCCACATCGATTTCATATTGGCACTTTAAATTAGACAAACATTTAGCTCAATATTCGGGACATGATTGTTTTCACACAAATCTGTTGTTAAAAGTCAGCTAAATAACTGCAAAAACATAGGCAGCTTGTGAAAGTTCTACTGTGTACTTGTTGTTATACCAACCCATTATGGATTCAGAACACTTGAATTCGATTGCGGTCGCTCTACGGATAGGTACTCGCTTCCTCGGGCGCAAACAAGCCCTCCCAAAATCACCTGGACGCTAGAAACTGAACAAAGTGTTTTATCTATGTCAAAGTAAAGGCCCCCCTCCTCATGCGGAAGCGCAAAGCGCATCTGTTTCCTGGCTTGAGCTACAAAGTGTGATCTGCTGCGCTGTAAACGTCAATCGAAGGAGTCTTGAGTGAGCGCAGCAGTTTTTGTGGGTATCACGGCATGTTTTCTGCATACATTTTTTCTTTCACTTTCCAAGTTGTCGTCTCCAGAGAAGATCAATCCAAGTGACCTATGGCGTTGGCCGGCGCAAATACGTTCTCTGTCTTGTGCTACAATGTGGCAGGACTACCAGCTCTCCTCTCCAGTGGCGACCCGGCGGACAACAGCGTGGAAATGGGCAAGCGCATCAGCGACTGGGATATTGTCAATGTTCAAGAAGATTTCAACTATCATGCCTATCTGTACAAGGAGAACACCCAAAAGTACCGTACGGCCACGAGTGGTGGTGTTCCTTTCGGTAGCGGCCTCAACACGCTCTCGAATCTTCCCTTCAGCACTTTGGGCCTCGAGCGTACGAAATGGAGCGAATGCAGCAACGACGAGAGCGCTGATTGCATGACGCCCAAGGGATTCACGATGCAAGCTGTTAAATTGGCCAGCGGCGTCTTTATTGACGTGTATAACCTTCACGCAGACGCTGGTGTATCGATGAATGACCAAAAGGCCCGAGCCTCCAACCTGAAACAGTTGGGCGACTACATTTCCGAAAACTCAGCAGGAAACGCTGTCATTGTCATGGGTGATACCAACACGCGCTACACGCGTAAGCTCGACACGATCGCTGAGTTTGTAGCTGAGCAAAACATGACCGATGGCTGGATTGAATATGTCCGCAAGGGTAAGCTTCCAAAAAAGGGTGCCGAGGCCATCAAGTGCGAGACGGCGAACATGGCGAACAAGTGTGAGGTCGTGGACAAGATCCTGTACCGTAGTGGTAAATACGTCACACTGAAGCTGGACACGTGGAACAACGAGAACAAGGCTTTCCTCGACAAGAGTGGGAAGGCACTGTCAGACCACCCACCTATTTCCTCAACGTTCTCGTGGTCGGCCAACCCTGATTTTAGCCTTAGCAATGCCTACGGTGGTCCGCACGGCACCTACTTCACCGATCTTGGGCTGGTTGAGCCGGGACAAACGGTGAGCTCAATTATAATTCGTGGTGATCGCCGTGTTGATTCCGTGAAGCTCGACGTTTCGGATCCAACTGAAAGTACTCTTTCCCACGGTGGCACTGGCGGCACGGCGAAGAAGCTGTTTTTGCAGGCGGGCGAGTACATCACGTCCATGGAGATTCATTGGGGCAAGAAGGACGGGCACACGTGCATCTTCTACCTCAAGCTGGGGACAAGCAAGCGCCGATCGATTGCTCACGGTACGATTACAGGTGACAGTGCCGACGTGCAAGCGCCCAAAGGTTTCCAGCTCAATGGCTTCTACGGTCGTGCAAGTGAAGACGGAATCGCTGGACTTGGTGCCATCTTTACGAAATTGTCAGGTGATGAGTCTCAAACACAAATCCAGACCGAACAAAAGTCACTAGATGGAAGCGAAATGCAGCAATAGGCTTTCCACAATACTATGTAGTTACTTGAAAACAGCAGAACAGTATTGAGTGTGTCATGATCGTCTAGCGAAGCGCGCATTGCTGGTTTCTCAGCTGATACAGCTAACAACTACAATACTGTACACTGTTTTGAGTTTTCAAGTACTATGTAGTGCTTTTTGCTACGACAAGTAGTATTAGCGAATTTAAGTAAAATACTACTACTACTGCGGCACGTAGTACTACTACAAGAGACAAGAACGAGTTTATTCATAACCAATCAAGTAGGAAGTGCTATTAGTTAATCACCTCTTAATCTTTACTCCCCAGGCAAAAATCGTACCGGTATCCAGGCCGAAAGCATACGGGTACTTGTGAAAGCTAGTTTCATATAGATTAATATAGTGATCTTTCCGATAGATAAATTTTATAGTTACGACCAGAGTGGGTTTAATAAGCACATTAGCCAATCACCTTTCTTATTTCGGTGCTTTTAGCCAATCATATGTGTCAGGGGTAGGGGTTGGACTCCGACACTTTCCGACATATATTTGTCGGAAGTCAAGGCAGAAATATGAATTTACGAATGCATTAATCAACCAAAAAAATATTTGCCAAATATTCTACCAATTCGGACATCTAGGCTAAAGCTGGAATATCCCTAATGTAGGAGCTCAATAGATGACAGCCACTCCTTACTTTTCAAAAAGCAGAAGAGATAGCTCAGCATGAGCCTCTCGGCCTTCGTTCCTACGAGCACGCAAAAGGCGCGCTCAACTGCAATTGCAGCATTCAAGCGGATGCTGGAGGAGGAGCATGTTAGTTTGGAATTTGTCCAAGCTAGCATTCTTCTCGACACCCCCGGCAAACGCTTAGCGGTAACAATGGACCGATTTGGTTTCTATTTGGCCACTAACGAAGGTAAGAAAGGTAAGCTTGCAAGGAACACTGCGTCCTCATTCTATAGACACGTAAAGCTATGGCTATTCGATGTGTATCCTCACTTGCGTGTAGCTACTGAATTGATATTGTTAAAGAAAGGAAAGACGTTAGATAAACACTGCTTTAAACGTGAAAATGGAGGATTAACTAACAAAGCTCCTCCTTGTACTAAGGAGGATTTAAAGGCTTTAGTACGTTACGCTTACAGCAATGCACGAGTCAGCGCAAACTACCAAGACGCTGCCATGGCGTGCTTGATGTGGCACTGCTTTGGTCGATCATCAGACCTCTGCTACGTCCAGAAGCAACATGTGTTGGTGTCATCGGACGGCGTGTTTTATCTGCGTTTGCTCCGCGTAAAGACTTCCGAGGAACAAGACCTCACACTTGTCCCCGACAAGGACAACTTCTTGACGTGCCCATTGAACTCGATAGCCGTAGCGCTGGCATTACGAGAAGCCTCTAGTCCGTCGCTACTTGGTCACTTGCCAGCGCTAACTCCACAGACAAGTGCTACGCTTGATGCTGGAGCTCCACTGCACGACTTGCTTTCCTTGACCCCCAACACACTCCACGTTGCCGTTACCCCGCGACCTACAGATCCCCAAGACACAGTTAGCAGAAACTCACCCGCTCCAATCCCGACACTGGACAAAGGCGTGAAGCGAGGCGAGGCCAGCATGCAGAGCCACGTCAACAGGATGCTGAAGTGCGTAACCGAGCCTGCAGGGGTCAAAGCGGAGCTGAGTTCTCATTCCTTCGCCGAGGAGGTGCTCAACACGCTAATGGAGATGACCGACTTGATGCTCAGTGAATCTTCGACCGTGGTAAGGATATGACGAAGACCAACAAGGCCTTTGCCTATATCATCAACACCGCGCGGAAGGACAGAAAGGTGGCGCGCGTCTTGAGCGGCTGGAGTGCTGACGGTGCTCCTAAGGTGGTCGACACGGCTTTGCTAGACTGTACGGCGCTCAAGCATCTTGAACGGTTACAGGAGCTGTTGTTCGCCACCTGTACAGGTCTCAAAGAGCGCAGGCTAAACGTGAGTACAAAGGTTCTCAGCGTACTCACAGCTTACCTTGTCCGACACTATCCTCAGCTCAAGGCTCTTGTCCCTGGATCAGCCATAGTCATGCGCGTTGAAGAGTGCCTGGTTGCTGCTGACATCCCCCTTGCGGACTTGCTGAAGTGGTCTATAGCGCTGAGCGAGAAAGCAGATGTACCTGCTCAAGACAAAGAAGAAACCCAAGAAGCAACGCACACGTGTCCGGCATTGAATCATCTTTTGGCTGTCAATCAAGAGTTAGTTGCATCCAATCGTGCCCTAGCAGAGCGCATGACCATCGCCGAGGCCGGGCTTTCCAGTGGAAGTCCAGCTCTGTAAACAAGGCAGCAGCTGAAGAGCAACAACAAGAGCAAGAATCGTCAGATCAAGAGCCAAAGCCTAAGCGAAGGAAAAAGCAAACAGCGAATCTGTCCGCCACGTGGTACGAGTGGTACACTAGGACGCCTCCTGTGTGGAGCAGTACTGACCGTCAAAAGAAGTCCGAGTCGCACCAGGTCGTCGCATTCATGAAGATCTTCTTGGCAGATGGCATCACGTTAGACATCCAAGCTGAGGACTACAAAGCCCAAGTTCTCGACGCCGGTCGCAGGGCCGAAGAAGCTGCTCTCAGGTTTCTAAAGTCGCAAGGCGTTAATGCGAAGGGAGCTGGCAGTGTTCTGCGCGCTACGACCATTCCACAAGTCTGGGGCGTTGGATGATCGCATAAGCGCGTACAAGCGCCTCCTTGCCACCGGAAGAATAGTTGACCCTGCTCCAGCAGACACTAAAGACATACTCGCCGTGGTGGGGCACGTCTAAACCCTCTTGAATACAATTACATTCACAGTTAATACAGTTAGTTACAATACAACGCGTTTCATACAGCGAACTGCTTCTTCACCACCAACAAACCTGGTGCTGCACCTCACAACGTTGAACACTCAGCACGAGCCCCTTCAACGGCAGCACGAATCATCGCCGCCCTCTCTAGCACAAACCAACGCATTTCTCGGCAGCATCGTCAGCACGAACCAGCACCGCACTATCCTACAGACATAGCAGTCGCCAACAGCGTCCTCCCAAGCAGCCGCAGCAGTCACCAGCGTCGTCCTCCCCAGCTGCCTTACCAGTCACCAACGTCGCTCTATCCAGCGGTTGTAGTCGTCACTAGCATTGTTGGTTAGCTGTAAAGACCCCCACCATGTTCCAAAGGATAGCGCCGGTCCGACTTGAACGGGCTCCTCAGGGTAAACCCTGGCTCTACCAGTTGAGCTACGGCGCTGCGGTCGGAGCGGTTCAGCGCTCTGCTTAGTAGCTGATGATAAAAGAAGACTGATTCGACTTGAGCTCTGTCGGCAGTCGGCCTACATGTGGCGCTTTGATAGCCACTGATGGCAGCGCGTGTATATTCCAAGACAAGTGGCATTAGCTCATTGGTAGATAAGATCCAATTGGAGACAATCAACCTTTCATTGGCTAATAATCCATCCTATATCCAGGCTCATGGTGCCTCCAAGGTCACCTCAATTAGTGACCCCTCTCACTCCCCTCATTAATGAATTTGCTGCCTGAGGAGCACATTGCTCCGAGGCTTTAAACATGCGTATAACGAAAAATGGCGATTTCTCAGCCTACAGGCCTCTATAGGCCATTTCATTGTCCCTGTGAATGCAGAATGAAAGCTGACTGGAAGCTCACATCCAATGTTTGGCTCGCACTTAGATGAATATGCTGTATGCTGTTTACAAGTTTTGGACTCTTCTTTTTCCTGTTCCCAAATTGTCGGAAAGTGTCGGAAAACCTAAGGTGTCGGAACCGTTGCGATATGGGAGTTTGTTTTGATAAACATATGTGATGCGTAAAAGGTTCAGATTGAGGTGGAGACCAAATGGATACTGTAGCAAGTGCGTTGGGAACGAGGGCCGCACACACCGTAGAAAATCCACAGTGCCTGATCCGAGCACGCTACACAATAATACGATGCTTTGAATTTGCAAATGCAGCACATTCGCTGCGCACGATTGCCTGCTGAACGTGCGCGAGCGTATTGCGCTAGCTCGATGAACGGCTTCAGAACGTGGGAGGCCTGCAACATCGAAATTTAGTTAGAAGCAAAGTACCGCTGCGATGACAACCAATTACGAGCTCTTACCAACTCGTGGTCTTCGTCGGGATCTAGAACAGTTCGGCGTGTCGAGCGGAGCATGGTGTGCTCGTTGAAAATAAGCTGATGTGAGAGCTGCGATACAAAGTCTGAAAAATCGAGAATAATTTCTTCGTGAAGGCAGTTTTCAGTGATCTCATATCGGTATGCAAGGTATGAATCAGTGACGACCATCCCCAATAGGGTTGCAAATACCCTGTGTATCGAGCTATGGGTGATCCATTCACGCTCGATAGCCAGGGACACTTGTCGTAAGTGATCATGTACATCAATGGAAGAGAACTTCGAGAAAAAGCGCTCCACCATTTGTGGGCGCGGGATTTTGTTTTCGTAGCGTATTGTCTCGGTCTTCCCATTGCGAGTCTTAAGACGATGACGGATGCGAATGCTGTCAGTACCTGGAAGTGAAGTGCCTGAATTCGAGATCAGCATCTTGGTTTTTTTATTTGCCCAGCAAATGGCGTACATATCGTTACTAGTATCTGTTTTACTCGGTAGTACGTTGAAATCGACACGGGGGGGGAAGCACTCCACTGTTGCATATGGGTTTTAGGATACTGAACGGTTGCTGTTTTGACAATGCCCATGAAGAAGAGACCAAGTGGCTTTTCAACCTGAACCAGGGTTTTCACAGAGGCAAACGTTGAGTCAGCAATAATGGTTCGCCTTGTTCCTTTGTACGGCTCAGCGAGGCGTAACACGATGGAAGCTCCTTCCCCGAACTGACTGCAGTACTGCTTTTGTCGCTGGCGCACCGTGCCTTCAACTACTTCAAGTCGTAGCAGAACTCCGCTCTCGCCGTCTGCTATCGCCTTCAACTCCGTACCCTTTCTTTCGGGCTTTCTAGCGATCTTAGTCATGTGTGGGAGACGGTCGAGCGCGTACTTAGCCTCCTTGCCCTTCCACGCACTCATGCATTCATCTACAACCAAAATGTTTCCAGGTGAAACGCATTTTGCACTTTGCTGGGATATGTACAAATCCATCTTTCGCCACACTCTCCCAATACACTCGTGTGGTTCCTTGTCGGGGCTCAATAGCCATTGCAAGTCTAATCCCGATCCATCGAAACCAATCGCCTTTGTTGATTGAACGATATTTGTTGACCGCCAAGTTGGCGTTGGTGTATTGCAGCATATTGTTTAGCGCTCCCATCGGATACATCAGATAGAAATATCGAGATACAGTTCGCTCCCCAAGCTGCAGACAACTTGGCCATAGCAAAATCGTTGTACGCGGGTGAGTATGAGAGGCTGGATCTACTAAAATTGAGTCACAAGATTCCCATTCACGACCATGGGCAACAATATGTCCCGTCTCAGGATTGCTTTGGGAGCCTGGTTGTGGTGTCTGGGAAGCTTCCTCACCCTCAAGTTCGCTGTTGTCTGCATCACTAGATTCGTCTTCACTAGAAGACGCTAGTTCAACGCCAAAAGAATCTAAATTCGCTGTAGCAGATAAGCAAAGAAGCTTGGTAAACGTGCAGTTTGAAGTAGGTGCACCGGCGTCACCACCAGGAGGACCTGGTTGGGGCCGACCTCAGCACTAATGACCGTGCAGCAACTATCTCGATGCATCTCGTAGACCATTCAACCTCGTATGAGGGGTACTGACTTTCTTTTAGCACCTGGAGATCGACACCTCTCTTCCCAGTGTGCTTCTTGCTTTTGCCACAAACTCGAGCTCCCACCTGCAGTTTGGACATGAAGAATTCACCAAATGTGTCGCGGAAAAAAATGTCGGACCCTACATCTTTCTTCTTTACCGTATTCGTTTCACTGTTGCCTATTCATAGCGGTTCGCGAGAACGTCGTTTTTAAAATTGGGCATACCCGTATGCGCTGGGGCATACGGGTATGCCTAATGGGAAGTAAAGATTAAACATATTTGAAAGTTAGCCCTTTTAACTATTTTTCCTACTTGGGTAAAGTTGGATGCGGGTTTACAGAGTCTCAATGTTGCTTTCCACGTCGAGATGGAAGATGGCTAATCCAGACGAGGACCGCAGATCCCGCGCTCGAGGTGTTTTTTCTTCTTTCTTGAAGACGTCGATCCGACGCGTCTGCGTACGGGAGACCAAGCGATTTTGGACAGCTATCCGGCTAGCCAGGCGTTTAAATGGATGCTCGAGACTTCAGTGATACCTCGTGAGCTGTGGATGACGTCAACGAGGCCTATTTTGAGGAGCGTTTGAAGGTGGACACCGACAAAGAGTTTAATTGAATGAAGGTGTCCAGGTCTTCTTCGGCTGGCAAGGTACCTGCAATTTTGAGCACCCGATCGGCTGACTGTGCGTGTTTCCCGATAAGTTGCAGGAGGGGTTTCCCAAAAAACGTCTCCTAAAGTTTGAGCTGACGATGAAGCCAGAAGGGCGCTTCCGAGCTCACGAGCAGCATTCCTGCTTTAGCGCAAAGAGCAGGACGCGCAAGATGTAATTGTAGGCAAACCTTTGGGAAAAGCCATCTGACCAATGCATGATCAGTTATCACTACTAAACTCAGATCTGCTATTTCCAGTCGTCACCGAGCTCTATTGGCAAATGTTGCTCCAATTTTTGAGGAAGGCGATTGCGTAACACGAAGCAAACAGAGTTCTGATTTAAAGTTAAGTCTACACCAGCCTGGATCTCTATCCTCTTTGTCGTTTACTCACCAAATCCTTTGCCAGGCCTGGCTACTTGTCCTTTCTCCTCTTGTCCATCCCCCAGCCGTGTCAGCCCCAGATAAGGGGCGCAATCATTGTATCGTGGCCGATCACAGATTTAATCAGACCAGGAATTCCTCCGATCAGGTATATTTCTGGATCATGGATACACCTGGATCCCGACGATTTTATATCTCAGGTCCAGATCACGATTTCCCCCTCACCATTCTTGGATCTTGAAACTTACGATATTCAGATATTGAATCTTGCTTTCTTCACTTGGATCCTAGCTAGCATCGTCGCCCCCGTCCAAATCGCTACTATTTCCGTCCCCGATTCGTGATCTCTGGATCCGTATTCTCGGGTTTTGATCCATCGTGTCACAACCCTGAACAGTGTCCACCATTCACTTCCCGACTTCTTATTTCTTGAAAAGCACCTCACCACAGCCGCCTCCTGCGCCCAGTTGTCGCCTCCCAACAGTCTCACTGCGCGCACTTAATAACACGCTCACTTTCATATTGGGGTCCTCAAACACGCCCGACATTGTACCACCGAAACGTGCCAACCGGGTCACGAGAAATCGTCTGTAGCCGCTTCATCTTTCAAGCCACCCTCGTCTCCACCGGCATCGGTGGAGGATTCCCACTCTTTCGTTCGGGCACTCTTTAATCAGGTTATTACCCTGACGACTAAGACACACGCCGTGACGCCCAAGCGAGATCTCACTCGCCAAGCACTGTAGCTGCTCTCAATCCGCGGTCGTTGCTAACAAGGATCTCCACCAACAAAGCCAAACCCCGCGATCTCCGGCAGCAGATCAACAGCCAAGCGATGGAGACCGAAGGCTGGGAACATCTAAGAGGTCCCACAGACCGGGATCTGCGTCGCCAGGTCGCGGATCAGACGCTGGAGTTGCGTGATCTGTTGCATTGCTTACAGCGGACGCTAGATCAGGGAGATTAGCTACAATAGTCCAGCAAACACCTCTTCCGAGAGGCTCAAGCGGCTGGGACCGAGATCGAGGAGCCTTAGGCACAGGTTCGTGATCGGGAACTCGAGCTGGAGGATGCAGCGTCGAATTTAACAGCATCGGATGACAGACTTCAGAGTATACGAGACGAACTCCAGATCAGACAAGAGGAGATCGTGACTACGGAGCTTATTTAATCCGTCAATGGCGGATCTGTGCCCGGTAGGTCTGCTCACGGCAATTCTCCCACGCGAGATTGTCAAGCTGCTTCTCAAGATCAAGCCCTCACTGATTTGGCTAAGGCCAGATCTGACATCGCCCGACAGGCTACGGACCTGCGCTAATCGCAGGTGTCCTCTACCCAATTGCCCAACGTTAGAGATCTGACTCGCCGGAGCGGGGTAAGACCATCGCCGATCTCAAAGCCCTGAGATATCAGAACAAGATTTTCGAGGTCCACCGCGAGGACGCCGTCGCCGCTGGGGGGGGGGGCTGCTTGTCGTCAGACCGATCTCGAATCTACGATCCGCCAGCTGAGTAGGCATTTGGGGTCAGGTCTTCAGCTCTTGAATCTTGAGCTCATCCGCATTGTTAACGCAGATGATAAATTGAAGAGCGCCATGGAAGATTCCCACGAGTTACAGCAGCGACTCACAGAGATTCAAGACCGTCACAATCAGCTGGTCCAAGATCATCAGCAAACCCAGCAGCAGCGGGATGTCGCGCTGCAGCGATTGGCCCAAGTGGAGTATGCGGCCATTGAGCCCATCCATATACAGGCGGCCCCAGATCTGGAGGTGGACCAATCTGCTGCGAGACCATCGGGTTCTTGCGTGACTGGATCGACGGCTTGCCTCTCCATCCGGCTTGATTTCCGATATGGGCGTCCACCGGCGATTCAGTGTCAGCTGTCTCCGATCCGCCCAGATCGCCTTCTCTTATGCGTCCTCGGACCCCCCCCCCAACTCTTTCAATGATTTTCCAACCTCTATCCGGATTCGCCGATCCTGAGGACCGAATCCGGACCCTACCTCTTCCAAGCGCCATCGAAACCTCTCACTTGCTTCGGATCCGGGGTCTTATCGCTCCTCTAAGCAAGCTCGCAGATTCTCTACGGTCCCCGTTGAGAAAAGCGATGACGAGGGTTTCGACCCCCATTCTGGGGAGATTGACGACGGCGGAGACGTCAGTGACGCCTCACATTCTAATACCAACAACGGATCTGCGGTTATTGGATCCAAGGCATCACGCTGGCAAGAGATTGGCGGTTTAGCAGCTATGAGGACGAGGACGATAAAGACTCGCCGAGCTAGACCGCCTCCAGTCTCAAGACCAATGTCAAGCGCCACAGCAAGATGTGGATGTTCGGTCGCTCGGGTGGGCGACGGTGACGACGCCAGCCCTGACAATCTGGAGGATGCCCGGGTAGCATATGAGGGAGTGGGGGAGGATACGCAGCGTGCCCTCGCCCAATCTCGATCGGCGTCGCGGCCACTCCGCCCCAGTTCGTCGTTCCGCGGGATCGGGGGCCAATAGAAACAAGAATTCGGTGGGAGATCCAACGCTGGCCGACCTGAGCCAGTCCAATCCTGCATTTCCGACAAGATCCTACGCAGTGCAATCTTCTCTCGCGAGATCTTATCCGGCCAGATTATCAGCTGCAAGATCAACCGCCGGATCTGCCCCTTACAGATTCTGTTGATGTCGGGGTCGGATCTTTGTCGCCTCCGATATAGCTCCTTGGACGGTAGACAAATGAAACGAGGTGGTCATCGTTTCGATGAAGATCACAGATGTTTTCCGGAAACACCCCTCGCAGGCTCTTACCTCGTGACGCAGCTGAGATCCATGTTGCGAAATATCGAGACGATCTCGTGGGTCGGGCCAGCATCGAGGCTCTCCGAGTGGCCGAACCTTGGAAATATCTGGTGGGTTCGGATCAGATGATCAGTTTGTGTGTGTGTGGACAGGGGGGTGGGTGGGGGTGGGGTGGGAGTGGGGGGGGGCGTCTTGGTGCCCTTGTGAATGCCTATCGTGAATTTGAAATCGTCCAAATCGCCGCGATCTGGGAGAGTACACACTGAATCCCAAGTCAAACAGCAAGATTCACCATGGATGGCTGCCTTTAATAAGCAGCGGGGCAACCGCAGCAGTTATGCTGGATCTATGTTGAAAAACGTCATGATAGCTTTACCCTACGTGATGCAGGAGCGATAATGCTATCTGGATATTCTCCTGGATTACTGCGTCCTCCACATGCCGATTCGACTCGACAAGGTCATATGGTACCCGGGATCTGAGTCGCGCCGGGCGAATCTGGCAGATCTCACTCTCAATCGCCCCGAGCCAGCCACGTTGCTAGAAGCTTTACGGGGGCGGAGGGGTCGGTCACCACCGAGCTCTGGCGCACCCAATTCCATGGCGATCTATTCCGTCATTCTGCAAATCAGTCAGGTTATACGGCTGGCGGGTACTTTCCACAGCGTCAGAGTGGCGGAATCCGGCGGGCCGGCTACCACTGCATCGTTATCGGGACTTGTCGCGAACCCAGAACGCCAGCGCCGGCCTTGAATTTTGCTTAACCACTGCCTTCTTTTGCAGATCATCCCTCACCGTCGTGTCCATTTATCATAGCGCTAGTGGGCAGATTTTAGTGCATTACCGATTAATCTTCGTAATCCACGTTTGTTCTTCCAACTACCTTCAACATCTTCAGATCCGAGAACTTACCAACTTAAATCGCTCTTTACAATATCCTCAATGTAACGGGATTACACGCAAGTGACTACCGCATTTCGCATGTAGAGAGCTGCAGCTGCTTTTGAGCTACACCCTATTATTAACCAATCACTAGGCATTCTGTTTTTCCGCGTGAGATCGCATGTAGAAAGCTACACATCTTTTTTACCGGTACACCGGTGTATTTTTTCACAAAAGATAAGCCACCAATTTCAATGGCGCGCCAGCGCCCGAAGGGAAGACCAAGCCGCGGTGGTGCAGGCCGATATGCCCAGCAGTACAAGATCACTGCAGAGTCTAATCAAAAGAAGCTGACTGTTCTAGACCATCTAGCGGGCTTAGAGATGAGAACCACAATATCACACTTTTATCCTGACCTTGCTTCCTCTGCCTACAACTCCAAACGAGCGACTATCTACCGCTGGGCACGCAGTCGTGCCAGCTTAGAGGCTGCTCTAGCTGAAGGTAAGGGTGAGCATAGGAAGGTGCGAAATGTGGGCGTGGGGACAATCCTGTCGCAAGCCAATGGTCACATCGTATGCAATGTCTATTAACGTTGTACTACTAAAAGTTTCGCCTCACGCTACGCCTGTCTCACAGCCTGCAGACGTCGCATGGAACTTCCCACTCAAGAGCAACTTTCGGAAATATTGACACGAAGACATGCAAGCGCAAATTAAAGCCCCGCGAGCACCAGGTCAGATGCTCAAATTGAAGAAGCCTGACCGCACAAAATTTGTGGCTGGGTATTACAAGCGTGGAGCCAGCTCTCAACAGACACGATAACAAACGGGTTTCGCGCTAGTGGGCTGCTATCAAGCCCCAACTGCATCGCATCGGCCGATCTTATTGTGGATTTAGAGAAGCTATCTCTGCTTGAAGGTCCAACCGTAGAAGAAGAGCAGGACTTCGAGCTTACCGGTAGTGACATCCAAGAGGAAGCAGTGGTGTGACTAACATTTGGTACAATTGCTCTTTTTTGGGTTGTACGTTTGTTTTTGGGTATACTTTGAATTATTCCCTAAACCTATCACCAGTGGGGTAGCTCTCTACATGCGAAATGCGGTACAAGTAGCCACTTGTTTACGAAAGAGGTTTTCCACCTTGTTGTGAGATACATTTGGTAGACTATTTCATTTAGGGTATTCTTTGGTTGAAAGTTGCAGCGGGGCTGCCGTAGCTATAGCGTCAGAGGAAGACGTTCGACTCAAAGAGTCACTAATACTAAGTTCCTTATCCAAAGGACACTTACAGCCCAAGACCAGGGCTCAAAGTTAATACCTTAACTTTTATGCTTCAAAACCAGAAGTGTTTTATTTACTATTATTGCGGCCAAGCCGCCTAGGGGTAAATGTATCTGTTTAACTATCTAGCATAGCTAAACCTAATCAAACGCAAAACGTGTGGCTTTCAGCCAACGTACTGAGAGACCTTGTTAACTCTCAGCTTATGTACTGAGAGCTGGTTAACTCTCCGGGTACTCCGATACATCGCACATTAGGTCAAACAAGAATTTTTAAACGAAGTAGAAACGACTAGGCGAGCTAGATACGCCCTTTTGATTTAGTATTGTAATACCACAAACACACTAACATGTTTGCAAACACCATTAGTGAATGTGCAGTAGAAATCGCAAACATGTCTGCGGCATTATTGCAATAGTGAAGATGATAGATCAAGAATCGCTCCAGCACGATGTAATGAATTCAACGCATGCTGTCATTTTGTGATTTTTTTTTCAATTTCTAAATTAAAGAAATCAAAATAATATTAATACATCAAAACTACCTGACAGTCCTAGCGCCCTTTGAAGTGAGAACAGTGTAGTTTAATTTCCAGCTGGAAATCCACATTTGTGGATCGACTATTGGAAACCACGCGACAACCCCTCGACCGAGTAGCTAGAATGGCACGCTTGGTGGCTCAATCACAGCTGTGGTCCTTCCTATCAGCTATTTGGGTGTTACGATTCGTAACATCCGTAACTTACGAATACGACATGACGGGACACGTTGACATGCAGCTGGGGACGCGGAAGCACCTCCAGAAGCGGATCTATTGGTCATGATAAGGTGCTGTAGCTACTGACCAACGCTCGCCTGTGCTGTTCGTACGATTTTGTTGTCATGATCTCTAGAAACACTGTCCCTTCAGCTCATTTCCTTATTGTACGCCTCGGACATAAGTCAACACCCTCCGCGCCACAGATGAAGACCCCATCCAGTATCCTCGCTTTCGCCACACTGACGGCTTCCGTGCACGCCCATGGATACATTTCCATGCCCAAGGCGACGTACCAGCCCAACACCCCCTACACGGACTACAACGCTATCACAACGGCTAGCGTAAACGCGGGCTTTGCCGGTGGGAAATACGATGGAAGCCCCTCGCAAAACACCCAGGTGTTCACCGATCATTGGAATGCTACCGGTTACAAATCGCTTCGTGACATGGTTGATCCTATCGCACCGGGCTATGGGTACTCTGTCGAAACGGCAACGCCCGTCGACGTGACGGGATACACTGAAATGTGGTGGCAGAACGACGAGTACAAGGAAGGCTTTATTGCCTCGCATGAGGGCCCTTGCGAAGCTTGGATTGGCGAGACGCAGATCTTCCACCACAATGACTGTGCTGCTCAGTTCAAGTCTTACCCGGCTAAGATTCCGGCTGACTACTCGTCGTGCAAAGGCGACTGTCTTCTAGTGTTCTACTGGCTGGCACTCCACGAGCCGAACTGGCAGATCTACAAGCAGTGCGTGCCGATTACGAACAACGGGTCCGGTGCCACGGCCCAGACTTCGGGCTCTGGTGACGCTCCCACCGATGCCCCTGTCGTAACTCCTGCAGCTACCACTCCAGCGCCGGTGACCACGAAGGGACCGGTTGTGCAGACTTCCACTCCGGCCCCTGAAGCTACGACTACCGCGCGAGTTGCTACGAAGGGACCAGTTGCTCAAACTTCCACCCCAGCCCCCGAAGTTACAACTGCTACACCTGAGGACACTTCTATTCCATCATCCACGCCAGCCCCCGAGATCACCACGGCGACGCCCGACGCGACTGAGGCGACTCCGTCGACAACAGCTCCTGTGGCCAAGGACAACTGCCTCATGTAGATTTCTTAGCGAGTCTTGACGTAGGACATTTTGAGTGTGAGTACGACAAACCTCGATAGATGTGTGTACCGGTAGTGACGTTAACCAAAACCCGCTGTCTTTTCGCTTTTTGTCATAAAAACTAACTGATTTCTAACAAAGTGTTTTAGACAAATTTCTAAAATTGATTAAGTACGAATATTTCTCCGATTTTAATACCGCTACGCAATCCTAGCTCCAGTCGGTGGCTCGTCTTCTCGCTGAGTTTGGACGCAGTGTCTGTATCCACAGGACCCGCTCGAGTGTCTGCGCGTGGACGCATACAGGAGCTAGCACAAATCTGGTGGAAAGAAACCGAGGGTAGCTTGAATCCTAGCTGCCATCCTCACCGGCCGAGGTAAGTTGTGACGTTCTTGAGCCCCGGTTTCTCGCAACTGTCTTCAATGACGACGCTACTCCGCGGCAAGCGGGCTTTGGTGGTGGGACTCATGAATAAGCATTCGCTCGCTGCTGGGATCACCCAATCTCTCCTCTCCAGTGGCGCAAGTGTCGTGGTGTCCTCCAAAATGCCGTTGAGCGAGAGCCATATCAAAAGCTGCGCCTTCCAGATCCCCAAAGCTACAGGACACGCCTTGCACTTCGAACCGTGCGACGTTGAGAACGACGAGAGCATCGACCACTTGATGGAACGTTGTGGGGAGATTTTCGACGGGGAGTTGGACATTCTGGTGCATTCGGTGGCGTTTGCTCCTCGCGAAGCCTTCACCAACGGATTGCTAAATACTCCCAGAGCTGCGTGGGCTCAGGCGCTGGACGTCAGTGCCTACAGTTTGGTGGGGCTAGCCAGAGCAGCGAAGCCACTGATGGCTAACCAAGACGGAGACACAAGAGACCGCAGTGTGCTGGCGCTGACGTATGCTGGATCGACTAAGGTAGCAGAAGAGTGTGTGGTGTTGGAGATTTATAGGATCATTGAACTTGTTGTCATTGGGCTGTGGAGCAGGTGGTACCAAATTACAATGTGATGGGGCCAGCGAAGGCTGCGTTGGAGGCTACGGCGAGACAGCTAGCATACGAGCTAGGTCCTGACGGAATCCGAGTCAACTGTCTGAGTCCTGGGCCAATGAACACTGTGTCGGCGCGTGGAATTCCCGGTATCTCGGTAAGTTTCGTCTGAGCTATCAAGACGTGTTAAATGACATGACTAAACTTGTATTTTCGGCAGAAAATGAGAAGGTATGCTGAGAACCACGCTCCTCTGCGTCGAAACAGCTCGAGTGGGGATGTTGGATCCGTCGCTGCATTCCTCTCGAGCGATTTGGCTGCGGCTGTCACGGGGCAAACTTTCCACGGTGCGTTTTTCTTGTAGTCCACTATTATTCACATAGATAAAAGGCGTCTAACTCGAGATATTGCTGTCACCACGGTGAACCAGTTGACGGTGGCTTGAGCGCCATGGCTCCGTATGAATAAACTGTTATTTAATAACCACTAAGGCGGAACTGCAGACACGTGGAGGAGCTAGGCTTGGTGAATCACCTACGCCTCAATGGCGACGAGTATATTTTGCCACTGGTGTTTGTGTGTTGTTTTGTTCTTCCACTCTGCAAGGAGTTGTTGTTTTCAAGAGCCAAGACGCTGCTTTAAACGATGCGGAGATTGGTTGGTGCTGGCGTGACCGCTGTATTGCGAGCACTCGTATCGACAGACAACTCTATAGTTCCTGATAGCTGAGCAGAGCCACGAAGCTGGATCGACACAGACGCAGCCAGTTCATTCGAATGGGCAATAGTCCAGCTCCAGATGAGGCGCGAGTAAAGAGATTCAGCAGAAGCCATCTCACTGGAGTGGCTCCTGTCGCTTGCAGAATGGAAACGCTGGATCTTCACGACTTGTCCTGGAGTGAGACACCGACGCATCAGAAACTATGTGAAAGGGGATTTAAAGCGTTTAACGTACTGAATGCTTGCCAGTAAACTCCTGTGAGAGCCATGGCGTAAAAGCGAAGAACGCACTTGTCGTAGCAGCTCAAATAGTCAACCGGACAAGTAGCTGGACTCGTTGGGAACGCGACTGCGCAATTGTTAGCCTGAAAGACGACAGCTTCATCAATCCACAACTCACATGGACCCTGCAAAGACACAAAACTTGTTATGCCGCTACGGCTAAAACTGGCCTAACGAAAGCAATGCGTACATGCTGGAAGCCTCCTTCCGGTGCCGTGTCATCGTTCCAATAGATCTCCTGCACCTTTGTGCCGACAAGGATGACCTCCGAAGCGCCCTGTTCGCTGCTACATCCAGCTGGAAGAGTCTCACGAAGAGGGTACGTATTCTCGACAAATTGGCGTAGAGAGGCAAAACCTGTCGACGGAAAAGCCTCCGTAAACGTAGCGACGTTGTTGCAGGCATCACGAGTCCAGTTCAGATTTGCAAAGGCCGCATTCGCGCACGGTCCGATAGTTGCAGGGCAAACCTCTATTGATTGACCGTTGTCCAGGTCTCTTGGCCCCGTAGGAAACGACAAGGTGGCAGTACCATCCACCTGGAATCTCATTATGAAGACCCAAACGCCCACACAGCACAGCAGTACCGAGGCCATTTAATTTTCTGACAATGTTCGTACTTCTTATTTGATCAGAGCTTGATAAATCTTTCATTTCCCCTAAAGAAAGCAGATTCTATACCGTTACACGTTTGCCAAAAATAAATTCGAGTCGGGGCACGACTAATATTAAATAATAAGGTGAAAAACTCAATAAATCGCAGTTATTGCGACCAACACGAATACAGTTGCCTTTCAACTTATCCTTACAGCTTTTGTAACCCATAATTTGTTTATTATTATAATAATTCCTTTGACAATTGGTAATGATAAAGGTGAGAATAAAGTCACTAATTCCAACTTGGAGTTTGAGCAAATTTTGAGTGCTCCTAATTTTGAAAGAAAACAATACGTATGCTTTTTTTATAAGCTGTGATCCAGCCTTCTCAAATTTTAATTAAAATCGGACCTCGTCATGACGCAAGGTAGACATCTGCTCTCCACGCACCGCTGACAGTGTCTAGTGACACTGTGCTTACAGCGATAGACAGCTGTTCTCCTCGTATCCATCTGTCAGGATTGCGAACCAACCTTTACATTGCGTCTTTTTTTTTTAGATTGCGGGACAAATCTGGCGAAGCATCGGTACAGTACTGTACATGTGCACGTATACTACAAAACAATTTAAAAAAAGCATTTAATGCTTTTTCTTAAATGAACTTGAAAAAGGCACAAACGGTGTAAAAGGAGGGGTGATGTAGCCTCTCTCAGTTCATCCGAAACGAATTTAATGAATTCCGTGCTAGTGTTTAAAATGTAAGCGCTTCAGATGTTGATTTGAGAAAGACCTAACTATTAATAGCTAAGCTCAGAGCCGTCCTGGTGCTCCCTAAATCATGCATGACGCTACTTTGATAAGGTTGCCGCCGGTGCTGGTGGCTTCCAGGATTTTGCGCGACGTGACATCCATCCCCTTTATAAATTTGTACTGTGAATAATAGCTTCGTGCCCCACCTATAAATTTTTACGATCTCGTCTGGTGCCCCTAAAAAAGAAAGTTTAGTAAATTCATTCACGTTTCGCCCATTTAACAGTGCAAAACGTCCAATAAGGTTTAGGAGGTCCTATAACTTCATGGCTGCAGCTGTACACCTCGTTTTCAACATTTCCAACGTCAAATTTGAGTTGATCCCCAGCTGCATCCTCGCACTTTTAAAAGAGACTCATCGTCCGAAAAATTCACCGCTCATACAAGTCTTTCGGCGCATCGAAGACGTAAGAATAGTATTTGATGGTGTCGCGACGGTATTAATAGCTCGTAAAGCGACAGTTGGCCTTTAGAGCAGGGGCAGATGTAGGGCGAGACAGTCGAGAAAGATGCAAGTAAAACAAAGTGTGAAAGGCGTGCATCTGTTGCCGATGGAACGATGCCCGCTATTGAAGTAATAATTGCTTATACTCGTTGCCAATGCGATACTGTGCACTTGAGACAACAATGCTTGAATATATAATTCCCTCTTCCTGCCAGTGCATTCTTACAAGTGTTAATACATGGTAAAATTGCAAATACACGTATGTACACATCCTTACACGCTTGGCCCATGCCAACAAATTCCTACTTGTACTCGTTTGGTCTTTAAAAAGGCTGTCGACATTGAAATTGTCGAACACCATTACCGGTACAAGAGTTTCAATCTGTGGGAACGGAAAAGCTTCTCACAGATTTGGCGAATGAATCCTGCTTTGCCCTCTCAAAAATGGGTTGTTTTTCAGCCACCTCAAGCGGAATGGGAGCTTCAAAACTCTGTATTTATCATTTCGAGTTGGTTCACGTAATAATTATCTTAAAAATTACTGTTTGTGTTTCTGAAACATTGGTCGCAATCCACCATCACGAGGCCTACGATTACCGGTACCGTAACCCACTTGCTGATCCGGCAGCTGTGATATCGGAATCAGTACACTTTCATGACGTGAGATGAGATCAGCTTTAACATTGTTCGATCAGTGCCACTGCAACCTCCGCTGAATCCTCTTGCCACTCAGTTTTTAATCTCTGTCTTCAGCCGAAACCCAAAACCAATCCAACTCTTTTCAAAGATGAAGACATCTTCCGGTGCTCTAGCTATAGCGTCGCTGACAATGTGTGTTCAAGGTCACGGCTACATTTCCAAACCGAAGGCTACCTACGAACCCAACACTATGTACACGACCTATAACGTGCTGACCACTGCTAGTGTCAACAAGGCCTTTGCTGGCGGTAAATACGATGGTAGTCCGACGCAGAATACTCAGGTATTCAACGAGCGATGGAATGCCACTGGCTACAAGTCACTTCGTGACATGGCTGACCCCATCGCCCCAGACTACGGACACTCTCTCAAAACGGCCACACCTGTCGACGTGACGGGATACACCGAGATGTGGTGGCAGAACGACGAGTACAAGGAAGGTTTCATCGCCTCGCACGAGGGTCCTTGTGAGGCTTGGATCGATGAAACTCGCGTTTTCCATCACGACAACTGCGCTGCTCAGTTCAAGTCCTACCCGGCCAAAGTTCCGACAGACTACTCATCGTGCAAGGGCGACTGCCTTTTTGTGTTTTACTGGCTGGCCCTCCACGAGCCGAACTGGCAGATCTACAAGCAGTGCGTGCCGATTACGAACAACGGATCGGGTGCGTCAACCACGACTCAATCATCTAGTGTGGACGACGATGGGGATTCGAGCTCTGAACAGGATTCCGCTTCAACGGATAATGGACAGACGACAACCACAGAAAAGAGTGCTTCAGATGCTATCCAGTCTGAAGCGTCTACAGAAGGTGAAGCTTCGGACGCTGAACAGATTGAATCTACAGAGCCTCCTTCCGCTATCTCGGGAACACCGACTTCAGAGAGTGCCACCCCCATGCCTCCCACCGATGCATTAGAAACAACCTCTTCTGCCCCTGAAGCCACTCCAGCATCTCCAGTAGCTACAGAAACTGCCAGTAACGCAGGCAAGTGCAGCACGCGTCGCCGTAACTAAGATTTGCTCGACTTGCACTCGTAAAAGCTAGTGTACGTCGTACCGTACGTTCACACTTCGGTCCATGTTGGTATAAAAAGTAACGTAGATTTCCAATTAATGCCCGGGGCGCTAGTTATTTCAGAACTAAAGCTCTCTAATAGCGAACGTTAGTGAGAAAGGCTACACTTAGGTAAGGAGGTTAATGATACTTTTTTGTCTCTACCAGACCAACGTCTCACCGTTTAAAGCTAACACCTTTCGAACATCACTTCAGCATACAACCAACATGACCTTCTAGAAGACTTTTTTATGAGGGGCTAAAGATTGGTAGCGTATTACACCCCGCCAATGCAATAACAACTGATGCAGAGTATTAGGATCGATCGATGTAAAATACGATAACATTGTCTGGGGGGGGCCGTTTCTTGGTTATTTAGAGATAAAATACAACCATAATTTCAGTGAGGTTACTCTCAGTTACAAGAGACTGGAATAACGCAAGGATTGGAATAACCAGTATTGGATAAAATCTGAATAAATGACGGATAGATTACCGATCGATACTCCAATACTTTATTCCAGCGACTCTTCGGAATATATTTCTGGACGAAGAAATTCCTTTTCAAAGCCTGAGTTATTCCAGAAATTAAAATTATCTATTATTAAAAAATGTGCCTATAAATGATGTTACATCCTGTATAGTTTTACGAGAATATGGTAGCTGAGAGCTTTTAAACTGAATAGAGGAGTCATAATGATATTATAAAGTCGTGCTTGACACAAAGACGCTCTGGCATTTAATAAACAATAATACTTACAAGGAGCAGCATCTACAAACGTCGCGGCGGTAGCTCATTGTTGTGTCATGGTGAGTTTTAAAGTGGCTCAGTATTTCCTTGAAAAGGTAAAAGTCAGCTTCTGTCTTCTTCCTACTGTTTTATCTTTTTTTTAAAGAGGACTTATAAATTTACTGCCACTCGCGTCGATTTTCCAAGACTCAACAGCTGATTGGCCAAACTTCGCGCAACATTCACGCTTGTTATTGGCTAATATTTTACCGTACTTAGCTGAGGTGTACGGACGCACGAAATCAAATTGCTCGGGAAATGTACTGTAGGAGATATCTCTAAAGTATGAGATCTCAAAAACGGTAGTAGTTTTACAGCATCATATGAAACAAGAGCTGTATCGGTAGTGCAATGTAAAAGTGGGGTAGCATTGTCTTCAACTTCACATCTATCTTATATCAGTACGTTTTCCGTGAGTGTTTTGTAAATCACATAGTAATAAAAGACGAACTGAATAATGTTTTACAATTGAAGCTACATGTAAGCATTTGCATACTTCGAAGTAGAAGTTTTTCAGTGTGTGTGAATCAATGCGATATTTTGAGCACTCAGCACACATGTTAGATTAAACCAGAGCTGTCTTGGGCTACCCCCAGGGGGATAATGCATTTTTTACTGTTAATACAATGATTATTGCTAAAAAGCAATTTTACTTTTGTTAGCGTTCTACTACACCAACTGAAAGACCACTTTTACAGTGCTTCTGTTTTTACCATTCGACCGACACTCGCGTTTAATTTTTGCCATCCTCAGGATGGTGACACATCTATGAAACTCTCCTGGCACGCTTCTTCTAAGCCTCATTGTTTAATCGCACACGCAGGACAAGAAATCAACCGCCCACCCTAGAGAAGGATGAAGACCTTTTCCCTTTCAACTGCCATTGTGCTGACCACATTAGCGACCAACATCGATGCCCACGGCTACATCTCAAGACCCAAAGCGTCGTACAAGCCCAACACCGTGTACACGACGTACAACGGCCTCACCAGTGCCAGCGTGAACAAGGGATTCGCCGGCGGCGTCTACAACCACGAGCCAGTGAACAATGCGAAGCAATTCTCGCAGCACTGGAAGGCAACGGGATACAAGTCTCTTCGCGATATGATTGACCCCATTTCTCCCGGATACGGCTACGCACTAGACACGGCGGACCCCGTTGATGTGAGCAGCTACAAGGAGATGTGGTGGCAGAACGACGAGTATAAGGAGGGCTTCCTGGCGTCACATCACGTAAGTTGGCCTACTTTTCGAATGATTGTATTCTGTGCTGTGCTTAACTAGGTTTGGAATGGATAATAGGGCCCGTGTGAAGGCTGGATTGACAACAAGATGGTATTCCACTACGATGACTGCGTTGCTGAGTTCCCGTCGTACCCAGCCAAAATCCCCACGGATTACTCGTTCTGCAAGGGTGACAAGTGTTTGTTTGTCTTCTACTGGCTAGCGCTCCACACGCCACAATGGCAAATTTACAGTAAGACTCCTACCTCACACCTGCTTTGACTGGTGTTAACGTATCACGGTATTGATTGTTGGTTTGTTCAGAGCAATGTGTTCCTATTTCCAACGGTGGGTCTGGTGAAGTTGGGGGCGAGGCTTCAACAGCGGACCAAACAACCCCTGAAGATGCCCCTGCTGCGCCCGAAGCGACACCCACCGCTCTGACGACGGATTTTACGAAGGTTGACGCCACCCCAGCTCCAGTAGCTACTCCTTCTACCGCCACAAGTACTGAAGCATCGGGAACTGGAACTGGTTCGTGCAAACGTCGCATGCGGAGCTAAATCCATGCAAACTATGGATGTTTTAGTCTAGTTGTTGTTGAGTGTGCCCAAGCCCAAGATGTTGAAGTCGGGTTATATTCTGTGCGTAATACCAAAGTGAATGTTTTTCTCAATGCCGACCATCACTTTAAAATAGCCTGCCTACCTAGCTAGGAATTACTACGATTTTTTAATAAATGGCAGCGTGAATGATGCAGCTACAAAGGTCCATTTTATAATACTGCTACTAATACGTACTACTGCTGTTGAACTACTACATTTGTAGTAGTAAATCCTGAAGAACTACTACGTAGTACTAAAAAGCTACTACGAAGTTATTCTCTGAAATTCATTCTTAAGTTGCGATGAGTAGTATACGTCCACGTTTCAAGCTCGCCAAATATAATCAATATATGTATGGTCTTAATTTCTAATGAAGAGTATCCTCTACATTGCACGACAAAAGTTTAAGGATGAATATACACGTCTTTCCGACCGACACAAAGGCAAGATTGTGGTTATGTGATTGATATCCAATCATATACTACGATTTACCTTAATTTAGCCAATTAGGTCGCACAGGAGCAGGTTCTTCATTCCGACACTTTCCGACAAATATTTGTCGGAAGCTACATCTAAGTTTATATTAAACCAATACTGAAGTTAAGTCGTGTAAGGAATATGTCAATGTTTTTGTGGCTCCGACAATGCAGTATGCCTCCTACTTTAGGTTAACATTGAGCAGTAGTGTTAAGGTACACTCAAACCAGTCATGTCCAGTTAACAAAAAGAAGAAAAGACAAGCAGCAATCAGCATGAGCCTCTCCGCACTTATCCCTACAAACACGCAAAAAGCGCGTACTACCGCTATAGGCGCGTTCGAGCGTATGCTGAAAGTCGAGGATGTATCCATGGACGTTGTCCGAGCATGTATTTTCAGTGACAGCTCTGGAAAGAGCTTAGCGGCCGTGATGGATCATTTTGGCTACTATCTCGCCACATGCAAAGGTAAGAAAGGTAAGTTGGCACCAATCACCGCCATTTCTTACTTTAAAAAATTGAACCTTTGGTTTTTTGATATGAGTATCCTCATCTTAGAGTACCAACCGAGTTTATATTGCTTAAACAAGGGAAGACTCTCGAAAAACCCTGCCTCAAACGTGATAATAAAGGGCTTACTAGCTAGGCGCCACATCGTACAAAGGCGGATTTGCGCTCACTAATTTGCTATGTGTACAAAACAGCATCCGTCGCCTCGGATTACGAAGATGCAGCGCTTGCGTGCCTTATGTGGCATTGCTTCGGCCGTTCATCGGATCTCGGCTACGTCACAAAGCAGCACATTACAATGTCAGCGGACAACGTTTTCTACATTCGGACGCTACGAATGAAGACAGCTGAGGAGCAAGGCCTCACGCTCGTACCTGATCGGGCGGATTTTGTGACCTGCCCGCTGCACACGCTCGCAGTAGCCTTGGTGATGCAGGAGTCGCCTTGTGTGTCCTTGCTAAGCCAGATTCCTTCTATTGTGACACTGTCTGCGCCCTCACTTGATGCAGGACCACCCCTTCTCGATGTACTACGAGTACCTTCGGTCAATGCTGCCACCTCTTCGCAGCTTCCTGCAGCAGGGATGACTGACCCGGCCGCCGCCACTTTGCGAAGCGTCCCGAGCCCCTCTGTAGCCAGCCCTTCAGCGACCAACCAAGCTCGCGGTGACGACGGGGTCCAAGCGTACGTGAACCGGTTCCTGGAGCGGGTGTCAGAGCCTGCAGGAGCCTCATCCAATTTGACCTCGCACTCCTTCAGGCGGGGCGGGGCACAGCATGCAAACGAGGACGAGCGGCTGGCTACACAGTGGATGTTTGATCGTGGGTCATGGGACCAACAAAGGTTTCGCCTACATATTTAGCACGCCACGCGAGGACCGTAAAGTAGCACGGGTTTTTAGCGGGTGGGCTACGGACGAGGCACCGACGATTCTTGATGTTGCCATTCTCGACCATGGGGCACAGGAGCGCATGGCCCGGTTGCACGAATTGTTGTTCGCTTCCTGTGTAGGGCTGAAGAACCAAGGTAATTGGGGTCCTTACCGCCTACCTAATTAGGCATTTCCCGAAGGTGAAGACTCTGGAGCCCAGGAGCTTGTTCGTTGTTCGAGTGGAAGAATGCTTGGAAGCAGCTGACATCTCCCCCACCGACCGGCTGACGTGGTTGGTCGCGTTGAGCCATGTCGCCTCCAAACCTGCTCAACAAAGGAAGGACACTGAAAAGAGCGACTGCAATCGAACGAAGTGTCATCACGCTGCTGTCATTAATGAGCTTATCGAAAGCAATAGGCTGTTGTCTGTACGCCTGCAGGTGCTAGAGGCTGCCATCCTTAAGCGACTTGCGCACGAAGAGCCAGCCCAAACTACAGAACAGGAGCAAGTTTCGTCACCTTAAACACCTGCAACGAAACGCAGAAAGAAAGCAACTACCAACCTGTCATCGATTTGGTTCGAGTGGTACACACGGCAGCCTCGCGTGTGGGGCTCTAACGACCGACAAAAGAAGTCAAATTACCGCTTGATCGTCGCGTACATGAAGCTTTTCTTTAAGGGCGGATTCCAGCTTCATTATGGATCGGAGGACTACAAGGATCGCGCTCTCGAGGTCGGCCAACGCGCAGAATCGGCGGTCTTCGGCTTTCCGAGTGGACAAGGGATTCGAGCGAAGGTAGCGTACTGCGTGAGATGCGCAAACTTCATCGCTTAGGGGCCCTCGACAGCCGTATCACATCGTACCGTACACACCTCACCGCAAACAAAATTGCTGATCCTGCGCCTACATCAACCCAAGACATACTTCAATTCGTAGGACATGTGTAAGACAAGTGAGTAGATGTTAATGAATTGCAACTCTTCGCAAACATCATAAGCCGACAGCAGGGAGTTGGGCCCCCCACTCGTTATCATCTGAGCGCTGCACCAGCAGTGCCGGCGAGATTCGTGTGCGCAATGGCATACTGTGCTCTGGACTGGTCCTTTGCTAAAGGAGATCTGCTGGGGTGGCTCTGGAAAAAGAAGACTGAGACCACAAGGCCCCTGTCGGTAATTTGTGGCGCTAGTATGATTGGCTAAGTAAAAAACCTAGGCAAGGTTTAATAAGTGACGTTGTTTTATTGGCTAAGCAGAAAAACTGAATGAGGTTAATCCAAATGACTGGTCTACGACAATGATGTCACTATTTTTGGCTTAAGTGTTATTGTTTTAAAATAAGCTCTAATAGTGGCCCCTCACCCTGGCTTCGGGTCTCATTCATAAATTTGCTGGCTGCAGCGCACAGTGCTGTGAAGCCTATAATGCCCTTAAACAATTTTTTTTTACTTTTCTCGGCCTACAGGCCTCTTTAGAGCATTTCCTTGCGCCTTCGAACTCCCTTTCCAAAGCTGACTGGATTGTATAAAAGCGAGCGTACTTAGTGTAAGTATACTTAATCTGAGTACACCGTCATGATCTGATTGGCGGATCCGAGCTATCGGAAACATTTCGGAAAGGGTTAGGGTGTTGAAACGGTTGCGATACGGATGAATATGATAGTTAATCGGACCATAGTTGAATTTATTATGGGTATATACTGCCAATTACTTACCAGCAAAATCACCAGCTAATCCAAATCATGATTATAATTGATCGGATGTAGTTGGCATAGGTAAGTCATCTAAGCCACCCGATCGGACGTATCAAGTCCGATAAAACTCTAAAATATGTGTATGTTGATTCCGTTGTCAAATGGTAGAAGTATCACTTTCATACTCCTCTTTATCTGACCTTCGCGATGGGTTTGGAGGAATTGCAATCTGGCAACATATTGAGAGCTAAGGCAAATGCTGTCGCAGCATTTTCCAAGTTTTAAATTGTGAGCATGTTGAGGAGGAATACGTAAAGAAATGCATTGAGGCGGATGAGAGTGGCAAGAGCTTTGTGTGTGTCATGGATAAGTTTGGAATGTATTTTGCGATTAGTGAAGGAAAGAAGGGTAAATTGCTGGCGCGAAACACTGCACTGCAATACTATCGCCAAGCCAAAATTTGTCTCCTAGAGCCATTTTCCTCAGCACCGAGCTTCGCTACAATCGCGGCTGCTTATAATGGAAAAAAGTCTCGATAATGTTTGTCTGAAAATAGATGGTGGTGGCTTCGTAGCGAAGGCTCCACCATGTACAAAGGCTGACTTAAAAAAATGGAAGTGTATTTGTATGTCATTGCGTGTTCTGAGAGTGACTACCAAGATGCTGCTCTTCTTTGTCTACTTTGGTACCTGTTCGGGCGAGCTTCGGACCACCTCTTGCGCTGATTGCGATTGATAAAGTCGGATGGACGAAGTTGGCGAAAGGGAGGAAGGTTTTTGTTTACATCGCCACAGCACCGGTACACCCAGGCTGTGCCCTGCGGTGTCCCTTGGCATCTTCATATTTTCGGGAACATGGGCGTGCCGCCGCCCCAATTATAGACAGGATGCGAACGAGCTTACACACTAGTTGTTTTACTCAATGGCTCTATTGTTTCACCAATAATATTGAGACACTCGCCTCCCTCGCTACTAGCTGTTCACTTTCGCTAGGATGTAAGCGCTTGAGTACCCTGGAGTTTTTCAAACGCTTCATGGTCGAGTCAGCTATGCTATTACACGCTGGGCACCAGATTGGATAGCACGATATTCCGATACTGGCGAGACCCCGGACACAAAGCAATCACATATCGCGTCTTGTGTCTCAGTAAGTTTTAACATGTCCGCTTTTTGAGCAGTAACTTCTTCCAGTAGATTTTTCGAGCAGCATGAATTTTATTTAGGATAGTAACGTGTGGTGGAATGCCAGTCGGCTAAATATTACCGGTTGTTTTGACAACGGAGCGTAAGTGAGTAATAATTCTGCATCAGCAAGCAATAGTGACTGGAAAAGAGGATCATGGACGCCGAGTGAATGCTGTGCAAATAATTAAATCCTTTTGTGGCATAAAGATGCCTGGTATGCCTTAA